AGAGTTGGTAATACTAGGACTTTGAAAACGCATAGGTCACAAACAGACTGATGAGAGAAAAGTGGTGCAGAAGGTTCCTCAAATTAATATCAATCCAAATATCAAACTATTATTCTACATCTGCGAAAACAATCATTGTTGCATTAATTTCCCGTTATTACTATAAAGTTGCTTTGTAAAAAGCTCTATATAAATAAAGCTGACATGACTTGACTTGCAACAACAACAAAACCAGGTCAGATCTGTTTATACGTGTAATAAGAGAAACTACCAGGATTTGTCAGGACACACTGAAGGAGTTTGCTGGAAAAGCAGTTTTTCCTGGAACACCGGCCATGAAGTGAAAGAGAAAATAAACAGTACCCCAAAAATACCCCAAAGCCAAAAGAGGAACAGTATAGTGTCGCAATAGTGATGTGTAAGTCTGTTGTTTGCTAAACAGGGAAATAAACGGAGCATATGAATCTGATCAGTGTTTCAGTCGGAGCGAATCCCTCTTCAGACGCTCTTCACTCTCTCCAGGTGGGAAACAATATTCATACTTCTTTATTTATAGCAAATTATGATTCCTATTACACACACATTATTATACAGTTTAGCTGTTTATGTCAGTGTAGTTTTTAGAAATTATGTGACTTCAATAAATCTGACTACATCGTGTGCATGATTTCATATAGATAATTGATTAGTTCAAATAAACATTTAAATTAAAACAGATAAACTAATAGGATCTTTTCAAAAATATTAAATGATTTGGACGGAAAACTGATGAATGATTTGATTGTTGAATGTTTTAATTCAGCGAGTGAAATAAAGATTGATAACTTATGAATTGTAGATGTTTTTCTCATGGTGATTTTTCTCAGTGTGTTTGACAGATCTGAACACACACACACACACACACACACACACACACACACACACGGACGACCTTATCCAGCAGTGTCTCTGATCAGTGTTTGACTTCATCCTTCAGTCCAGCGTGAGTCTTTCATTTAGCAATATATGAGCTATATTTTTTATCTTTGCATCATGGATTAATTAAATTGAAATGATTGAATTTTCTAACATTGATGAGATTTACTTTAGTGTCATGTCATTGACCTAACTGCAATTTGTATGAATTTTACGAAGTGGATAATTTCTAGGGATTCATACAAACTCACTCATACTCACTGGTAAGATGTTTGCTAAATCAGTATGAATTATCCACCCGTACTGCGTGAGATAGTGTCGTCATCCACACAAGTGTACAAGCAGTGGAAATATTTTGTTCATAGATCGTTGCAGGAATACAGAAACAATCAATGTGACATTTAACTTCAATAAACACACACACAGAATCATCACACAGTTGTGGTATCTTAACTATAAATCATATAATACATACTGTATCATATACTACATATTGATTTACTGTAGTAATCCCTTTACTTCTGTTTGCAGCAGTTACAGCAACAGACATGGGATCAGGGTCGTCTTCAGGTCAGAACACACACACACACTTGTAACACACACACGACACCTGGTGGATACTCCAGGATACTACACTTTGTACTGTATATTGTAAGTTATGAATTATTAGAGTAATCTCTAAAAATGTTTAATGTCTGATACAGGACCAGAGATGCCTCAACCGTAAGTATTTCTTGTTTAAAGCTTTGACTTTATCTTTACTAACTTCATAATCAACTGATTATAATCCAAATAAGTACCTCATATACAGTTGCTTAAAGTAACTCATCGAGTGAGACGAGGAAAGTTTATATGGACAGTGTAACTTTTACTGTATTCAACAACAGCTCCTTAAACCACAACAGATCATGATCACAATCGCATTTAACATAGATCAACTGTTTTTACATGGTTCTATTGTTATCATAATTTTTGCTTGTGACACTGGTGTAACGTTAGCAATGATGGACATCTGAGTTATCAAGAGAAGGACAGAAAACATATATCCAGTGTTGTCTATTTATGAGAAATGTTTTGATATTTCAGGCAATTCAAAGCTTTTTGTGACGAACTGCAACGGCGCATTGATGAACTGAACAAAAATTATCAAACTCTCACTGTTGAAATACAGAAACCTGAACTTGATGTAGATCTGACTGGTGATGCTGTTAGAAATGTACAATTAAGCATGAAGAAGATGATTGAGGATCTGACAAAAAATCAAAATAATGAAATACGGAATAGAGTGGAATCTGTGATGACGAGAATGAAAAAAACTCTCGAACTGCATAAGAAACTAAACGGCTCAATCGATACTCTATTGCGAAGTCTTAACAATTACAAAGTCAACGGACAACACAAGTCAAAAGCAGAAGACATCAGATCAGAAACTTTGAAATTGAGTCCTCAGATGAAAGAAATAGCAGCTCAATTTCAGAAGATTTTGAATGAAATTAAACATGGCTAAAAATAAATTAACAAATTCATTTAAAATCAGTTTAGAAATGACTGGACTGATCTGTGTGGTTTTATCATCAATATAATACAGTCAAAGCGAATCCCTCTAATCTGACATCTTTAAAGATGTGTGCGTTTAATGATGTATAAATCATGCAGAAAGTGTTCAGTCTTTCAAAGCAGTGAATTCTGAATTATAGAAGTTTATATTCTGGGATTTTCTACTGTAGATCTGATGATTTCAGAGAAACTCACATTACAGCAGAGGTTTCCTCTTATCAGAAAATACAGTGACAGAAAAATGTACTTTCTTTCTTTTTTTACATTGATGTTGTAATATGTGATTAAATTACTCTGGTTGTCATCTAGATTTGAAAGATTTTATTTTATTTTTGATGAGAAACTGTTTGCATGTTCAATCAAACTTTTGTTCTTGTTTTTATGACATTGGATAAACTTGTAAAACTTTGTCCTAAATGAATCACTTACTCTGGAGTTTAGATTCTGTTTATTTCTTGTGAAATTCTTCAGGTATTCATATTAATTGCCCTTTTTGTTTTATATGCTACTGTACTGTAGAATAAACTCAATGATCATGCTGATGTCAAGACATTTATTACAAAAATAAATCTCTCCAACATATCCTCCACATTGTGTGATCTTTTATAAGTAAACAATGTTAGAAATCATCTTTTAGAGGCAACATGATGATGCTGAAATAAACCACGTTTTGTTCACAATATGAATGGTGTATAACTCTTAACTGTTCTTGTTGGTTTACTGAAAATGTTTTTGGTCTTTTTTATTTATTTTTTATTTTTTTTAATAATTGACTTTTGATGGACTTTTTCAATATAAAACAGATTAAAACCAAAAGCAAAAAAAGCACCGTTTTTTTTTTTTTTTTTTTTTTTTAAGTTTAAAGAAGGTTTCAGGAACATCATTTTCGACACATTCAGCTCTCGCCAGAGACGTGAAAGTATACTGATTACTGAGTTTGCTACATTCTTGCAAGTAAATAATCCATGATTAGACGGACAAAATAATCGGTCAGGATACGTCGAGGCTGATAGTCATGTTTGATATGTTTCTGGTGAAAGTGTCTTGCCTCAGGCTATAATGCAAATCGATTTTTCAAATTTGCAGATTCATCTATGGAAGCTTGATATTATAATATTGAAGATAAGGCTATTATCTACCACATAAACATTGAATTGAGTTAGCATATCCATTATGTAAAACAACAGTAGCCAATAGGCTATAGTGTTACTATAAAGACGCTGGCTTGTAAACGTGAGCTACGCGATCACGTTTGAAAAAAATAAAGCCCATGACACTATATTCATAAGACATGCAGAAATATATGCCAACGTACCTGGGATGAAGACATTTCACACGCAAAACTGGAGTCTGCCCAAGACGTGATAACTCCTTCCTCTGCAGGGTTCGGGGGGATCGCTTGTCAACAAATGCACGCGTGTATCGGTCTTTGTCAGACACGTGGGTTTGTTGTGTGTGACGTCACCGCGGCGCCATTTTTGAGGTATCGCTACTGAGTCTGACTGTGATCATTGAAGAGATTACGAGAGTAGAATAACTCACAAAACTACAAAAAGCACAAGAAAACTGCGAAAATGCCGTAACTGCAATAAACTCAATAAATGTGGCAGGTTTTTTGAGAAATTGTAATCCATTCAGAACATAGGTCCATTTATGAGCTCAGCTGACTGCAGTAAGCTGGAGTGCTGATCCCGCATTGCTTTCAGATCGTCATGCACGTAAATTAAATGTCTCCATAAGAGTAAAATCATAACAACCTGCGTACCTTCCCGGTGTCTTCTAGTACTTTATTCTCATTTCCTATTGGTCTCTGGAATTGCCAGCCCGCTGTAAATAAAACTGATTTCATTACAAGTCTTTCAGGTCTCAGCCTAATGGCCCTGACTGAGACCTGGATCAGACCAGAGGACACTTTCACACTGCTGCCCTATCCACTAACTTCACTTTCTCACACTCCTCGCCTGACCGGAAGGGGTGGACGTACTGGTCTTCTCATCTCAAACGATTGGGAATTTTATGCTTTACCACCTGTGTGTGACAACAGCTCATTTAGATCACATTCAATTACCATCTTCTCAATTGTTATTAACATACCCAGAGTTTTTTACTTAAATCGTCCATCTGAAAGCAGGTGAAGGTGATTTACTGCTAATCAAGGAACCGCCTTTACTGACGAGATGCGCATAACAATATCGTGCGATATATCGCCCAGCCCTAGCTGGCTTCATCTATAACCTCCTAAGACCCTAGTTTTGGGTGGAAAAGTCCAGGGGTCAGAAAGTAAAAGTACTGCCACATTTTTATTCCACCCACAGCAAAAACTCCAGTGTTAAATAAAACTTTACTGGGAGTTTCTTTGGATACAGACTCAAGAGTGTTAAAGTTAATGAGATAATTAAGTGAATAATTAAATGATGATTGAGATATTATTGAAGACACCTGATGATAACAAGCAGAATCACTTAAGGAGAATGTCACATTTTTAAAGTCACCATTATGGAGATCAGTGTCTGCTTTAGTTGGGCTCTTGACTCTTAAATCATTAACTTTAGATGTTGTATGGCTGCTGTACATGAGATATAACAGCCAGATGAACAACAAGGAAAGCTGATGCGCTGAGGTTGGTTATGTTTTGACATTATCATCATTTGTCACGAAACTCATTTGTAGAGTTTAACATTTTTGATTACACAGTATAACATTTTCAAAAATGTAAATATTATCCAAAAAATTTCTTAAAAGCTGTTCTATTCTAAAATATTTTTTTGGGACAAAGACATCAAGAATCAGCCTGTGATTCTCAACAATGGTGACAATTATAAAGCATGTTGCAGTTCATTCTGGGTGCCACCAATCAAAACCATTCATGGCTCCCATCATGCATTGCGGTATGAATAAATAATGATCTGAATTGTCTTAGTAATTTCCTTTCCCTATTTGAATATTCTGCTTGTAACCATTGTTGAGATTCATACACTGAATCTTGATGTCTGTGCGTGCCTAAAAGAAAGATTTTTATTTTTCAGAACAACGTTTAAAATATCATTTGGTTTATTTTGAAAAATCTGGATCTAATATTATAAAATCACAATAATGCTGTTATGATCATTGTACTTTTAAATCAGAGAGTAGGCTTTAAATGAGTTCAGTGATTCAGATCTAATGATGATTATGTCCTAACATGATCTTGAACATCTGATCTGATCTCTTTGTTCATCCGGCTGTTAAAACAGCTAAACAAAATCATTAGTAAAGCATTTAAAGGTCACCTGCCCAACTAAAGCAAACACTGATCACATAACGGTAACTAAAAATATAGATTTTCTGCTTCAGTGATTCTGCTAGTTAACATCAGGTGTTTTCAATAATATCCCAATCATCACTCAATTATTCACTTAATTATCTCATTAACTTTAACACTCTTGAGTCTGGATCCAAAAATACTCCCAGTAAAGTTAATTTAACACTGGAGTTTTTGCTGTGGGTGGAATAAACTTATGGCAGGACTTTTACTTTCTGACCCCTGGACACACAGCCAATACTGTGATGTCCACGTATGTGGACAACCAGGTCTTAGGAGGTTAATACCAAACTCATCCTTGCTTTCCAAGCTTCTTTTTTTATTGTCACCATTGATGTGACCATCAGTGGTTGGAGAGAGGTGTGTTGAGGAGACTTGAGGCCAGCAGCAATCAATCTGGAGCCTGCACTCCCACTGAAGATTGAGCTCAGTCTTGGATGAAAATCTCCTGGAGACTGGGCAGCTGCTGGAAGAGGTGTTAGAGAGGTCAGCAGGTCTGATCAACCTGAGGCCTGAGTGGGACTTAATGCCCCAGTGCAATCGACATAAGCTGTTCTGAATAAGGAGTTAAAATAAACCTCTGAAAATAAGGGTTTAACCCTGGGGCATCATAATCAGTTTTTGTTTAGTTCTTACAATTTTTTATTGTTTAGCAGTTCTGAACTCAGTCAGCTGATTTCACTAATTAGTTATATCTCCGGGCTGAATTAGCAAATAAAGGTGGCTGGAACAAAATACTGAGGAGGACTTTTAGTTTCTAAACCTGGACTTAAAACAGCTCCAGGTTTGGACTAGGGCTGGGCGATATTACATACAGAAATGCCACAACATGAAAGTAAATGCGTTCGTAGTAATGCCTGACCTGGAATCAGTGATTTCTGATTTCTAGGGCTGGGTGATTATGTTCCTGCGTGGGCTGGTTGACCGAATCCAGAAGGAGATCTACATTTTATCTCAATTTACTGCAAGTCAATGCAACAAGATGACTTGACTAGGTCAAGTTGTGTCAACAAGTATTTTTTACAGTAGCGACGGCCCTGCTGATGCCAATACTGAGACTGATGCCTCTATTTTTTATTTCTTGGGAAAAATTGAGTAAGTATAACTACTCAGTAATTCTGAAAGCCTTCTTAATATTTCATCTGAATAATCTGCAAATTACCTTATTATTATTTTCTTTACCACTGATTAACAATGATAAAGACCAAAATCTTTAGACGAATGACAGAAGTAAAGTAACTTTTAAAAAACTACTTAGCCAAAAGATTGTCTCTGAAGACCTTAAAATTAAACTTTTTTTGTCAAAAAACGACAACATTAAATACACACTGTTAAACCTTACCAGGTTTTTTACAGTAAAATAGTGGCAACACTGTTACACTGGCAACTAGAAATTTACAACAACATAAATCAGTCAGTTTCATGTATATAAAAACAGTTTAAAAACAATTAATTCTACAGTAGGTCAAATATCATTACTTTGTCCATCTGATCCAACTATGTATTAATATTTTTTAAATTTACAAAAACAAATCTTCTGTAGGTTGAATGAATAGTGAAGCCCAACTGAACATCTGGATGTTTTAATCCTTAGTGCAGATAACTCCACTGTCTTTAACGTTTATTTAAATAAACAAATACCTAAAAATTAGTTAAAGTCACGACAGTTATCAATGTGTTTGTTTCTAGCGTCCTTTTATGTTATTTCGCCATATATCCTTCTCCCCCTACTGGACACATCAGGAACAACAGGTGCGTAAAACTGTCAGCCTCCAGGTCTGCAGCCTCCCCATAGAGACTTGATGAGAGACTTTTTTCATGGTATTTTTTTCTTTTTCTTGCTTCCATGAAAGTTCTAAGCACTAATCAAAAACTGAATGTGATGCCAGGGATGTATTTTTTACCCCAGGGTTACACCCCTTATTTTCTGAGAATTATTTTAATCCTTTATTCAGTACAGCTTATCAACATTTTTGTGATTATACAGCATATCCATATTGTTCTTATAACCTAAAATATTTAATAAAAATTATTCTGATCAAATCACTTCACTACACCTTTATTTAGAAACACAGACATCAATAATCAGCATGTGTATCTCAACCATGGTGACAATAATAATCCTTGTTGCCACCAATCACAACTCAATAATGGCTCCCATCATGCATTGCGGTATGAACAAATTATGAGCTGCATGTGATGGGCTAATAGATTGGTGTACATATGATGCATGGACACACTGAAGACCAAGAAAACAAAACAATACAATCTGAACATTACATAAAATACACAATTAATATTAAGTTGTAAGATGCTCCTGGAATGAGTCGACATTCAGGCCCCAGTTCCTGCTAATTTCTCCACTGAACACGCGACAGCATCCAGGTAAGAAGACCTGCACAGAAACAATACACATCAAATGCATTTGTTTAGGAGCCCAATAAAACAAATCCCATTCAAATATGAATGTTCAGAGAACATCTGTAATTCATTTTTTTTTGCATCCATACGGTAAGTGCCCATTTTTCCAATAAATAAATAAAAGTAAAATCTTAATCTTTTTTTTTGCTTCTGCTCTTTTATTTAAACCATGTTGTCTATTAAAAAAAAATTCCAAATAACTTTAGGCATTGTTACCAAACTTCGAATAATCAATTGAGCAATATGCCGCTAAATTACTAATTATGTACAAAAGGTGGGGATAATAAGCAGAGGCTTCACCCTACACATTTTTTTTTTTTTTTTTTATTTATTTTTATTATTTTTGGTTGTTATGCATTATGTATTTATTGAAAATTGAAATTGAAAATTGTATAAAGTCCACTTTTCACTCTGCAGTCAGTTGTTCATATGGATAAAATCAAGCCGCAACACATTTTTTCCCTTTGAATATCCAGTTTCAGTCAGACACACTGCTTGAAACAGATTAAAAATGTCATGCTGATTTTAATATTCTCATGATAAACACATGAAATCCTTAACAAACTGAACCTGCTCAAACAATTTCAGTGAAATCATTGCGTTGACTAGTCCATTCCCACAAGTTAGATGCACATCTGAATCCATGCACATCCATTCATGTGAAATCATAGAATTTCTTCAATATAAAATATAGACAATAAAACATGTCTGTATAAGTCATAGAATAAATTAACCTTCTTATATGTTCCGCTTTGTCTGTCAGCAGTTGTTCAATTATTGAACTAAATTCTCAAAACTCATATACTTTTTTATGTCACGTATACTTTTTTGTACAATAAGTGGTAATATAACATCTATTCAACTATACAATACAGATTTAATATGATAAATGTCATTCTACCTGCACCGAGAAGCTGATGGACTGAAGATGAAGCTGCAACTGTTGCTCCACTTGTTAAACCATTGACCACTGTTATAGCTGGTGCTGTCATATTACCAGAGGCTGCAGATGTTGCAGAAGTTGCAGATGTTGCAGATGTTACAGATCCTACAGATGCTGCAGATGTTGCAGAACTTGCAGATGTTCCAGATGTTACAGATCCTACAGATGCTGCAGATGTTGCAGAAGTTGCAGATGTTGCAGATGTTACAGATCCTACAGATGCTGCAGATGTTGCAGAAGTTGCAGATGTTGCAGATGTTACAGATCCTACAGATGCTGCAGATGTTGCAGATATTGCAGGTGTTTCAGGTATTGTAGATGTTGCAGGTGTTTCAGGTATTGCAGATATTGCAGATGTTTCAGGTATTGCAGATATGTCAGATGTTGTAGGTATTGCAGATGCTTCAGGTATTGCAGATATGTCAGATGTTGTAGGTATTGCAGATGTTACAGATGGTGTTGAGGTGCAGTGACAGCCGTTGAAGAGCAGAACAGCAGTTACAGCGAAAAGACCCAAATTCTTCATCTTCCTTTGGGAAATAAAGGTTTGTTGAACTGGATATTTGTAGCTGAGATTTTAAATACAGTAAGAAGAGTCATACAAAAACACAAGAATTACTCACAAACACATGTTGTTTTACTTGGCACACAGCTGTTATGATGTTATATTTAAGTTAGTTTTTCATAATAAATATTGTACAGATATGCAACACAAAAACTAAAATTAGTAATAAACTAACATGTAAATATTAATATTAATATGTTGGACTGTGGTTTATTATTATTATTTTTTTGTTAGCTTAACATTATTTTTGAACATTGATTACCACAGTGTTTATGATGTCTTCTTTCTTCTGATTAAACAGTTCCAGGAAATAAGATCCGTGTTATTTGTCCGCAGGGAAATCGCTTCTGCCCCAAAATATTGCATTTATAGTATAAATAATCAAAATGTATTAATCTACATTGTAAAAAATATTTTCAAGATTTGTTATCACAACATATTTTCTGTTGTCAAATCAACTTTATAATAATTTATTCCGTTGAGATAACTTATTATTTTGAGTTTCTGATCGTTAAATTAATCTACTTCGTTGTATTAACTCACTTTTTCCTGTTCAATCAACTTAAAATTTTAAGGCAACCCAGGTTACTTACTTTTTTAAGTTAAACCAACAATATTTTTTACAGTGTAGTAATCACAACATTTTTTCTTTTGTCAAATCAACTTAAATAATTTATTTAGTTCGGATAACATATAATTTTGAGTTTCTGATGGTTAAATTAATCTCCTTCATTGTATAACTCACTTTTTCCAGTTCAATGAACTTAAAATTTTAAGGCAACCAGGTTATACTTAGTTTTTTAAGTTAAACCATCAATATTTTTTTTACAGTGAATGCATAATCCATTAATACAACTCTAATGATTAAGTTTAATACACAAAAAGGACAAACAAAGGTAAATGATTTAAATGAGTCTTTTTAAATAGTCTTTAAGTCACATTAAACTGCTTATAATATTAATAAAGATCATGAAGGTTCACATACCTGCTGTCGTCTGAGTCGTCGGCCGTTGGTCAGTGAGGTTTATATGAGTTTGATCGCTGTGGAAACCTCTTTACGACCCACTGGATAATTGTACATTTGGTAATAAAGGATGATATTGTGTTTCAGTTTCCTCTAGTATCGTATTGTTCTTGTGTTAGAAGTGATTTCAGTCCTCTAGCAACGGAGAGAATCAACCGTGACCTCATCAACGCACGACACACGGGTAACCATTGTCCAGGTTTTTAAATATAGAGAAAAAATTAATCCCACAAACCATTACAGGGGTCTGACAATCGTCCTGAAACAATATCATGTTTTGTCACGGTATTCTTTTGTCTTGGTTAGAGCACGTTGTGGGCATTAGAGAAACTAAAAAATATATTATTTTTCCAGTGAATATAGGATAATCCCACTCTAGTGTTGTTTCCTAGACTCAGGGTGTCCCCCAAGGCTCTGTGTTGGACCCTATTTAGTTTTCTCTAAATAAGATTCCCTTAGACACTATTTTAGAAAAGCATGGCTTGTGTTATCATTGCTATGCTAATGATAATGTACATGCCCTGAAGCACAAAAAGGGCTTAGACTCTCTCATTGCAGACAAAATACAAATCCAAGATGGCAGCACTAGGTTTGTCTTGTCTGATCTGTCTTCTCCTGTACATACGTTTAAATGTTGTGTGTTTTATCTCAACATGGCATTTTAAAATCGGGCTCTATCTTGCATTGAGTCTGGATTAAAGATTACTTTTAATTATCTACAACCTGTTTTGCGTTGGGTGAAGGGTGCTTACTTGTTGCACTAGCCCGGGTCGCCATCCATCACCACGCTTGTCTGTGCGATTTTCACTTCAACGCTGGTCTCATGAAGTTGCTGTTTTTCTGTGCGGTAATCCAACCCGATCTCACGGGAATTCGTACGAATTTTACGAGGTGGCTAATTCGTAACAATTTGTACGACCTCACTCGTACGAATTAGTACGATTTAGCTAAATCGTACATATTTTACGAATTAGCCAATTCGTATGAATTCGTATGAATGACCTACCCCTGACCCCGCCCCTAAACATAACCATCACGTGGGTTTAGACAAATCGTACAAATTTGTACGAGTGAGGTCGTATGAATTAGTACGAATTAGCCACTTTTGAATCACTCGTACGAATTGGTCGTGAGATAGGGTAGGGTAATCTCCATGCTCGGATTATGGGCCATACCAACGAAGACGGAAGACAAAGCATTTCATTTATCGCATCTCCACATGCATCTCCCATCAAAATGTACAGATATTATCTTCATATTTTGGGTTGTTAGTAATTTACGTTTATGGATACAGGAACTTCCATAGAGTTCTCTCTTTTCTTGTCGAACTCTCTATTGGACTGGAGTGCCACAGGGGTCCATTTTGGGTCCGCTGTTATTTACACTACATATTAACAATCTTGGAGATCAGACACAAGTATTTATTTAAATGCAGATGACACCATAATTTATTGTTTTGCATCTTCCAGTTGCATTTGAAAATCGCATTAGTAATGGGTAAAGTTCTGAATGAGAAGAAAACAAAATGCATGGTCTTTTCTAGGAAACACGAGTGTGAATTTTCTCCAATCATCACATCTTTACACTTTGCATGTTAAATCTATAGAACTGGTTTCCTCCGAAAGATATTTAAGCTTTGTGTTGGAGGAGGACTTATCATTCAAGTTACATGTTAAATAATTGCTATCTAGGTTAAGGTTACAGCTGGGGTTTTATATTTATTATTTATTTCACACTCAGCCAAGAGAAAGTTGGTGGAAGCCTTCCTTGTTACCTGTCTTAGATTATGAGAAAGGTTTTTTTTTTTTACAGAAATTTACTAAGGCTCTTTTACAATCATTAGACTCTCTTTGTATAAATGATTATACTCATCATTGTGCACTGTGTGAAATGGTTGGTTGGCCTTCACTTCTCTTAAAAAGGTACGAGCAGCATTGGCTTTACTTGTGTACAAGGCCATAGTCGGTCAGCTTCCTCTGTATGATTAGTCTATTAACTGTCAATAGTCAAGGGTATAATCTTCGTTCAAGTAGATATATTCTTTTAAATGTTCCCTTAATGAAACTAAACTGCTTTTATTTATAATGCACCAACTGAATGAGATTCAAAGATCATTGACGCTTAAGTCACATCCCAATCAAACATCCCAAACCATCTGCACCTGTTCTTAATTTTTAGTTTAGTTTGATTTGTTGTGTGTGTGAGTGTGTGTGTGTCTTAGTGTATATGTGTATTGTGATTTTTTTTAAATGTATTTAATCTTCCTTTGTTTGTTTTTATACTTTGTTATGCTTTCAGGGCTCACTTATCTCAATGTGATTTTTTTCACTGGTTAAATAAAAATGTAAGTTTTACATTTAAAGTGCTATTTTAAAAGTTTTTCACACACGATTTAACACACAATTTTTTTTTACACACGCTTAAACTATAATAATAATAAAAAATAATGCCTTTCTGATGTTAAAGCCTGGATGTCATTAATTATTATTATTTTTTTATTTAAATTAGAATATATACAATTTTTTTGTCTTCTTCTGTTAAATCATGTGTGAAAAACGTTTAAAATCGTACTTTAAATGTAAAACGTAAATACAAAAAGAAAACCTCAGGTTAAAAATTATGGTTAATTAATGTACATTTTATAAGATCATAACGCAAACAAATACACATTTAAAACTGCACATGAGTTATATATTCAAGGAACAATCCACAGGACAACACAAGAATATTGTTGCATGACCACAAATAAGAAACAAATAACACAAGCGTAATTTTGATCCCTTTAATTATTTTTTTTCCCAGTTGTTCATAGTATTACACAGAGAAATTAGCCACACAAATAATTCGGATTGCATTCTGTTATTCATGACATTTTATTATATATTTTTTTTAGTTAATTACATTAGCTATTTCCTTTTTTAGTGCTAAAGCTAAAAAAAGTTACACAAGAACTAGCACACCGATGTCTAACCCATGAGGACACTGAGATGCAGATCTACTTCACAGAAAATAAACAATGAAAAGGATTTCATTGAGGAGAGTCGAAAAATAAAAAGAAAGAAAGAAAATGGACACACATTTACATTCACACCGTCTCAACAACACACGCCACGACCTAATCCGTCCCTTTACCTCATTTTAATTCACATTTTTATGGTTATTTCTCTATTTATTTGGTAAAACATTTCAGATTTGAACTACTATTTTTGGTAAGTGAATGTGAATCTGGGATGACCCACACCCGATCACAACATGAACTTTCCATTCGAAAGAAAGAGGGAAAAACACCACGTCTCCTTATTCGTAAACCAAACAAACCCTCTCTAAAACAGGATGAAGACGAATGAAATGTGATTTGAGAATCTCTACGGATGTTCACGGCGCTACTGGAAGAACTTTCCAATTAACGTTGTCGAAACGTGTAATGTCTCATTGTTATTTGCAGGGCAGTGTTTTGCTGAACCTGATTGTTACGATGCATTTGCAGTTGCGAGGACAGTTTTGGTCCTCTGGCAATCTGGTAAAAATGATCGCAGTGATTTCGGTGTTTTTACAGAGCTCTTTATACGCTAACTTTCTAATATCAGTGGCTTGATGACTGAAGGAGCTCTTGGTAGTAATGTGGCTAAACCCTGTTGGCAGTGAAGGGGCTGGTTAGTCAGAAAAGGAAATGTAACACAACCCTTATTGTGCTTTAGAGAGTTTAAACACCTCTCACACACACTCAGACATGTCAGAGCACTCACGTCCACACGCACTGTTTTACTCTGTGTACGAGTCACTATGATTCAGCATTAGAGGACTAGTGCTCTCAAGTTACGTTCAATCCATTCAAAGAAACCAAACAAACGCGCCGCCAACGCTTCCAGCGAAACGGGTTACAGTCCGGTGGCAGTATTCAACGCTATCTCACCACCAATTCATACGAGTTTTTAAAAAGTGTCCAATTCGTACTCATACGAATTCGTATGATTTGTCTAAACCCGCGTGATGGGTCGGTTTAGGGGCGGGGTCAGGGGTAGGTCATTCGTATGAATTCAAAAGGATTGGCCAATTCGTAAAATATGTACGATTTAGCAAAAATTGTACTAATTCGTACGAGTGAGGTCGAATTAGCCACCTCGTAAAATTCATAAGAATTGCCAAGAGATCGGGTTGATGTATACCACAGTATTAGATGATTACCATAGTCAAATACCGTACTATGCTAATATCGTCCACTGTAGTTCAAAAAATACCATACAACGATAGCATACATCCACAAATGTGGTGGTACTACCACTCAAAAACACAATTATTTTACATTTGGTGGCTAAATCATATGGACCAATACAAGTACAAGACCTTTATTGAAGCATTTTTTGAACTGCATTCAAATCAACCAATCAGATTTGAGGGCCACGTTCACGTGTTGTATGAAAACCCGACAATGGATTAATGGAAGAGGACAGTATGGGCTGTCAATCCTCCAAAGAGAAGTTGAGGTAAAATATTGTTTTCTTGTATATTTTTACTTTTAGTTTTAACGTTAGCACCATCCTCTCTCTTTCGTTTCGCCATTTTTGGCGAAATACGGCAAAAGCTTCTGTGCTCCTATTGGTCAACGTCATACATGTGACGGAACCGTCGTGGACGACCGTTAAAAAAATTAAACATGCTAGTCTTTTTGTCATGATTTCATGAAGCATCGCAGACACAACGTAGGTTGTCGCCCACTATGACACACTCTACGTGATGATACAATCGAATCTTGCGTCCTCACGGGCGTGGTCGTTTACGAATCCCCACGACACTCTACGTCAAACGGATCGTGCCAAAATCGCGCTAAAATCGTGTAATCTGAACCAGGCATTATGTGCTTCTACATCAGTGTTATTCAGCATAATGTAGGGCTATAGGTCATGGGCAGGGCTAGGTTTAGGCATAGGGCTAAGACTAAAATGTTGGACAAGAATGTTGTTACAGGATTCTCGATCCCATTCATGTTTTTGTAAGATCTCTTTACACGTCACTGATACTTAGGCGTGGACCTTCATGCTTAAGTGTTTCTTTACAAGTTACAAATTCATACAAAATCACCATCTTGTAAAATAGTCACGTTTTTTAATGTAATCGTGTTGAAAAGTCAACGAAGTAGACAAACTGTAGATTAAATCCCATTTTCAGGTCGAATAAAGGCCGATATTCCTATGATTCGCTGTTACACTGAATGACGTTTGGAGTGTGTATTCATCCAGGTTTTTTGGCAAAGTACACCAGTGATTAGGGTTGGGTATCGTTTGAATTTGAACGATTCTGATTCCGATTCCGATTCCGATTCCTTGTTTCGATTCCGGTTCCTAACGATTCTCGATTCCGATTCTTTTAAGAGGCAGGGTCAAAAAAGTTTAGCTAACCTTGCTAACCACGGCCTTTCTGAAGGAAATAATCCTTCTGTAAAAATACTCCTTTTGTCACAAATTTTGCATTTTGCCGAGATTTCGTTATTTTTAGAAAAGTGAAGCCACACTTTGGATCGCCGACGTAAGCTACTCATGTTCGACTCGCGCGGTTATGCCAACACTTCCGGTAGACGCTTCTTCGTTGGTGTTTCTTCTTCCGCTCGGCGGACTGTGAATATCAAAACTAGGAATCGAAATTTTAACTTTTGAACGATTCCGGGAAAAACGAAAAGTTAGTCTCGGTTCCAATCGATACTCGATTCTCGATACCCAACCCTACCAGTGATTGCATCATAACTGATTATACTTAATAATGCCTTAAACAGTGGGCTTTTATTGAGGAAAGCCTCTAAATGCCAAAGCACTGGATCATGGAAATGGTCAACACAATATTGTGGCAATTCGTAACTATTTTACATTTTGGTGAATTGGTGGCAAGTTGGGATTCTTTTCTTTAAAAAAAAAAATCACATACTAATTCTCCACCAATTTGCAAAAAAGTTTCACTTTCTCATGACACCTTATATCTAGTGATCGACCGATATTTTTTTTTTATATTTGACCGATATTTGCATTTTTTACGTGTATCGGAGTCGGCCGATACGCGGCTGCCGCGTTCGCCGACAGTTTTTTTTCCCCGGCATTATTTATAGACAGGTGTTCACGGGCAGCTCTGTCCTGCTAGAGACGCTGCAGTTCACATGCCCCGCCCTCCCCCACTAGCAGAGTGCAACCTGCTCTTCACGAGAATGGTAACTTAAACTTTCAAAGGATCTTTTAAATGTTTGACTGCCGAAATATTGCCAAACACTTTGAAAATGGAAACACGTTGCTCTATAACTGTTACGTGCTTGCAACTATATAGCTAAGCAAGTTTGTGGGTCGAAATGGAAAACGCGAATGCCTCGTCTATAAAACGTAACTGCTTGCCATTGTATTAGAGAGCTGCAAATAGCTAAGGTGTAGGCTATCCGTTCAGTATGCATTAGGGCCGTCTATGAATATTCTAAATTCGAATACGTATTAATTTTGAAGGTGAAAATTAATATTTGAACGTGGAAAAACACGCCCGCGGTTGCAGACTAATAACGTTACCACAGCTGCACAGCTCGCTCGGAGCGCTCACTGTCGGTTATATACTGTGAAACAGTCTCTTTTTATTAATGTGTCCTGTTATTGACTTAATGCGCGTCAATGACAAAATGCGCAACGAGATGTTCAAACACGTTTTTTTAGAGGGAATATGCAAACGCCATTTGAGCAATTTCGACAGCCCTAGTATGCATACGGTAACGAACACCGGTCATAAGCCGCCTTTCCACTGCACACGACATTCGCATACGATTGTCGCATTTCGCCCCCTAGTGTCAGTCGCACGGAACTTTGAAATTGGCCGTGAAGCAACCGTTACCCTAGGATATTCACAATGGTAAAATTAATGATTTTAATAAATGTAATGGATGCATGAATATATCTACACAAAACAAATGACCCTCAATTCATCTCAAATAAAAATATAGTAGTATAAATATTGGTTTAATATTTATAAAATATTTTTTTCTGCTATAGTTAATTATAACCAACATTTTACAGAGCGAGCGTTTACAGAAAAACATTAAAGAGTTAAAATATTGGTAATTCTAGCCTCGCACTCATAGTTTTTATTAGAATACATAACCTCCGGTTGGCCGGTCGCATACGGTCTAGCCGCAGAAGTTCAGATATTTCAACGGATCCAAAGCTCAAAACGGATCTGAATTTTCCGAACTCCCCGCAGCTCCCGTACGACTCTCCATTGGAAATGAATGATTTCCGCTCCGACGGCGGTCGTTTGTCGTGTGCAGTGGAAAGGCGGCTATAGGATTAAGTAATGCCAACGTTGTTCAGTGGTTTTTGTGGGAGATTTATTCAGCGCTCTCCTGGCTGAGGTTTGGACACGTGTGGTGTGTGTCTCCCTCGCCATCGCAGTGATATTAGAGACTTGACGTGCTCATTTTATTTTATGTAGAAAAATTGAAACCATAGTTTGTTTCTTTTAAAATGAAGTACAGTGTGAACTGTGCACTTTATTATGCTGGTTGCTACTATGTGCAATAGTGTAATTATTTAATTTATGCTTTAATATTTATTTTCAGCACTGAACTTGTTTTTTTGTTTATCTACTTGTTCTTGTTCTACCTCACATGTTTTTAATATTTTGTTAAATATTATTTTTTGAAGTTAATTAAATGTTACTTTTATTAAATTGAGACCTGCAACATTTGTTAACATCATGTCATTTTTATGATAAAAAAAAATTGAGGGAGCAAAATGTATCGGCTCCAAATATCGGCTCAAGAAAATCGGCAGCCCGTATCGGCCATCGCCTAAGGCTGATGGGAAAAAAATCGGCATCGGCGCTAAAAAAATCCATATCGGTCGATCCCTACTTATATCGGTTCATTCATGACTCGTTTTTCATTGATGAAACTAGAATAGATTTCGTAATTTACTTGAAAAATGGATAACGCCAGAACAGTGTCCTTTGAGTTTTCGCTGATAATTTTGTTGTACATGTAAACACACTCATTGATGGAAGCACTTCTAATAATCTTCAGCTGAACATCCACGTGAATTAGACTTTATTAACGTTCTTAATTCGTGTTTGTGCTCTTACAGTGAACGGTTCATCGTTAGTCTTTCATCAAACTCGCGTCACCCTTGAAACAGCTTTTCTTTCCGACCGCCGTCCTCGCGTCTAGAGACATGTTTCACCATCTAATAATTCCTCAGATAATCCCATCCTGCATTTATTCTCACTGAATTCCCCGTTTCAGTGAAAATAATCAGATTATAGAAGTAAAATATGGACGTGATTTCACATTGACTCCTGTGACTGTCATGTTTGTATTTCCTACTGACCGCACACACACACACTCACCAAAATTAAAGGAACGTAAAAAAACCACTTGATAGCACACGTCCGTCACAGAGACTTCTATTTGACATGTGTGTGTTTACATCTGGAAGACATATTTTTTTAGAAATACGTCTATAGGACGTTTCCTGTCAGATGTCAAATAGACGTTTAGAAGATGTCTTTAAGATGTAATATGTTAAACTGACATCTATCAGATGTTAACAGCAGATGAAGTGATCTTTAACGGACATCTTGCAGATGTACGTGTGCTATCTGGGACAAATAAACGTAGACTGACGTGGTCAAACTAATTCTGGCATGCAATTCAGAACAGGCAAAGACCCCAACGGCCCCAACCAAACAAACCAAAGTCAAATATAATTACAGTTTTTTTTCTTTCTCATTTTTTACGTATATAGATTTTTTTTCCGCAAAGGATCAAATGGAAGACATGAGCTGGCTGTCGACTACAGAGACGAGTCTTCGTTCGGCCTAAAACTGTCTCCGGAAACACTGTTCCTCTCCCACAGCAGCAGGATTGCGTAAGAGAGAGAAAATAATACAAAATACAAAACCGAAAGAAAAAAGCACACACAAAAAAGTCGATAGACACACATCATGAGCTTATATAGTCTTTTCTCTATTCTTTTGTTTAGAAATTCAACATGTATTTAAGAGAAACATCGTTATTTTTTTTTAAGTGACGCTTGTCGTTATTAATATTAATGTCGTATTAGAAGTATTACTATTGGTTAACACTACATTTGGGCTCACTAAAGGCCCACGCCTGACGGGAGCGAGAGAGTCGTCGTCCGTCGCCCACCCACAGGACTCGCGTGCCTTATCTCCGGCTCCGGCGCCCCTCAGCACGACACCTCCATGGTCTGGGACGGGCTGGGCGGGAGCTGTCCCCCCTGGGAGCCCTGGGACAGCGTGCGGGATCGGGAGCGAGAGCCCTCCATGGAGTAGGAGGAGGAGAGAGAGGTGGTGCGCGAGCGAGAGAGACGCGTCATGCAGGACGACGCCACTGGAGGAGAAGACAAGCAGACGTTAACACATTTTACCTGAAATAAAAATGATATTGATACAAGATGTTCATGGTCTTTCTTTCACTTGTTTTGGGAATGTCACACATATAATCATTAATAATGATGATATCCCGCAAGATTATTTTGGGACACTATCCTCCCAGAAAAAAGGTACAAAAGCTGTCACCACACGTTTTAATCCAAATTAAGTGATATCAAATGAAAAACGACTCAATTCGATTGAGTTTCATGAATATCAAATCAAATTAAATACGTTCGGTCTCATCAGATTTTATCTTGATAGATGTGTGGCTGGTGCGATAAACGCTGATGGAAACGTTATTATGGCGTGGTCTAGAAAAAACTTTGTTTGCTTGAATGTTGTGCGATTCTACGGAAGAGGATTGGGGCCAAGCAATAATAAAAAAATAAAAACCATCTCAAGATTAAAGTCAATATAATGCGAGATTAAACTTTTTAAATTTCGAGAAAAAAGTCGAAATAGAATCTAGAGTTTAAACTCATTAAATATCGAGAATGAAGTTGTGTTTCGAGAAAAAACTCGTTAAATTTCGAGGAAAAAAAGTCGAAATACAATCTTGAGAATAAATTCATTAAATATCGAGAATAAAGTCGTTGTGTTTCGAGAAAAAACTCGTTACATTTCGAGAAAAATTCTAAATACAATCTTGAGAATAAACTCATAAAATTTTGAGAATAAAGTCATTGTGACTCAAAAATGAAATGCGTACGGTCTCATCGAATTTTATCTTGATCGATATACGGCTGATGCGATAAACGCTGATGGAAACGTTATTATGGCGCGGTCTAGAAAAAACTTTGTTTGCTTGAATGTTGTGTGATTCTACGGAAGAGGATTAGGGCCAACCAATAATAAAAAAATAAAACCATCTCAAGATTAAAGTCAATATAATGCGAGATTAAACTTTTTAAATTTCGAGAAAAAAGTCGAAATAGAATCTAGAGTTTAAACTCATTAAATATCGAGAATGAAGTCGTTGTGTTTCGAGAAAAAACTCGTTTAATTTCGAGAAAAAAATTTGAAATACAATCTTGAGAATAAATTCATTAAATATCGAGAATAAATTCGTTGTGTTTCGAGAAAAAACTCGTTACATTTCGAGAAAAAAAGTCGAAATGCAATCTTGAGAATAAACTCATTAAATATTGAGAATAAAGTCATTGTGTTTTGAGAAAAAAACTCATTAAATTTTGAGAAAAAAAGTCGAAATACAATCTTGAGAATAAACTCATTAAATTTTGAGAATAAAGTCATTGTGACTCAAAAATAAAATGCGTACGGTCTCATCGAATTTGATCTTGATCGATATACGGCTGATGCGATAAACGCTGATGGAAACGTTATAATGGCGCGGTCTAGAAAAAACTTTGTTTGCTTGAATGTTGTGCGATTCTACGGAAGAGGATTAGGGCCAAGCAACAATAAAAAAATAAAACCATCTCAAGATTAAAATCAATATAATGCGAGATTAAACTTTTTAAATTTCGAGAAAAAAGTCGAAATAGAATCTAGAGTTTAAACTCATTAAATATCGAGAATGAAGTTGTGTTTCGAGAAAAAACTCGTTAAATTTCGAGAAAAAAAGTCGAAATACAATCTTGAGAATAAATTCATTAAATATAGAGAATAAAGTCGTTGTGTTTCGAGAAAAAACTCGTTACATTTCGAGAAAAAAAGTCAAAATATAATCTTGAGAATAAACTCATTAAATATTGAGAATAAAGTCATTGTGTTTTGAGAAAAAACTCGTTAAATTTTGAGAAAAAAAGTCGAAATACAATCTTGAGAATAAACTCATTAAATTTTGAGAATAAAGTCATTGTGACTCAAAAATGAAATGCGTACGGTCTCATCGAATTTTATCTTGATCGATATACGGCTGATGCGATAAACGCTAATGGAAACGTTATTACGGCGCGGTCTAGGAATAAACTTTGTTTGCTTGAATGTTGTGCGATTCTACGGAAGAGGATTAGGGCCAAGCAACAATAAAAAAATAAAACCATCTCAAGATTAAAGTCAATATAATGCGAGATTAAACTTTTTAAATTTCGAGAAAAAAGTCGAAATAGAATCTAGAGTTTAAACTCATTAAATATCGAGAATGAAGTTGTGTTTCGAGAAAAAACGCATTAAATTTCGAGAAAAAAAGTCGAAATACAATCTTGAGAATAAATTCATTAAATATCGAGAATAAAGTCGTTGTGTTTCGAGAAAAAACTTGTTACATTTCGAGAAAAAAAGTCAAAATACAATCTTGAGAATAAACTAATTAAATTTTGAGAATAAAGTCATTGTGACTCAAAAATTAAATGCGTACGGTCTCATCGAATTTTATCTTGATCGATATACGGCTGATGCGATAAACGCTAATGGAAACGTTATTACGGCGCGGTCTAGGAATAAACTTTGTTTGCTTGAATGTTGTGCGATTCTACGGAAGAGGATTAGGGCCAAGCAACAATAAAAAAATAAAACCATCTCAAGATTAAAGTCAATATAATGCGAGATTAAACTTTTTAAATTTCGAGAAAAAAGTCGAAATAGAATCTAGAGTTTAAACTCATTAAATATCGAGAATGAAGTTGTGTTTCGAGAAAAAAACTCGTTAAATTTCGAGAAAAAAAGTCGAAATACAATCTTGAGAATAAATTCATTAAATATCGAGAATAAAGTCGTTGTGTTTCGAGAAAAAACTCGTTACATTTCGAGAAAAAAAGTCAAAATACAATCTTGAGAATAAACTCATTAAATATTGAGAATAAAGTGATTGTGTTTTGAGAAAAAACTCGTTAAATTTTGAGAAAAAAAGTTGAAATACAATCTTGAGAATAAACTCATTAAATTTTGAGAATAAAGTCATTGTGACTCAAAAATGAAATGCGTACGGTCTCATCGAATTTTATCTTGATCGATATACGGCTGATGCGATAAACGCTGATGGAAACGTTATTACGGCGCGGTCTAGGAATAAACTTTGTTTGCTTGAATGTTGTGCAATTCTACGGAAGAGGATTAGGGCCAAGCAACAATAAAAGAAAAATAAAATCATCTCGAGTTTAAAGTCATTATAATGCGAGATTAAACTCATAAAATTTCAAGAAAAAAGTCGAAATACAATCTTGAGAATAAACTCATTAAATATCGAGAATAAAGTCGTTGAGTTTTGAGAAAAAAAATAGTTACATTTCGAGAAAAAAAGTCAAAAAACAATCTTGAGTATAAACTCATTAAATTTCGAGAATAAAGTCGTCGTGTTTCGGGAAAAAAAAACTCTTTAAATTTCGGGAATAAAGTCGTGTTTCGAGAAACTGTCTAAAAACCTTTTGTATTGCTGCCACACAAGCATTTTCGGTCCCCATGTCCGCGCGCAGCTCTCGGGACACGACTTTAATATCGAAATTGAATGAGTTAATCCTCAAGATTGTTTTTTTTTTCTCGAAGACAACTTTTCTTTTCTTTTCAAGACAACTTTTTTTTTCCTCGAAATTTAACGAGTGTTTTTCTCGAAACACAACTTTATTCTCGAAATTAAATGAGTTTATTCTCAAGATTGTATTTCTACTTTTTTTTCTCGAAATTTAACGAGTTTTTTTCTCAAAACACAACTTTATTCTCGAAATTTAATGAGTTTATTCTCAAGATTGTATTTCGACTTTTTTTTCTCGAAATTTAACGAGTTTTTTTCTCGAAACACAACTTTATTCTCGAAATTAAATGAGTTTATTCTCAAGATTATATTTCGACTTTTTTTCTCGAAATTGAATGAGTTTATTCTCAAGATTGTATTTCAACTTTTTGTCACGAAATTTAACAAGTTTTTTCCTCGAAACACAACAACTTTATTCTCAAAATTGAATGAGTTTATTCTCAAGATTGTATTTCGACTTTTTTCTCAAAATTGACCAAGTTTTTTTCTGGAAACACAACTTTATTCTCAAAATTTAATGAGTTTATTCTCAAGATTGTATTTCAACTTTTTTTTTCTCGAAATTTAACGAGTTTTTTTTCTCAAAACGCAACTTTATTCTCGAAATTTAATGAGTTTATTCTCAAGATTGTATTTCGACTTTTTTTCTCGAAATTAAATGAGTTTATTCTCAAGATTGTATTTCAACTTTTTGTCACGAAATTTAACACGTTTTTTCCTCGAAACACAACAACTTTATTCTCAAAATTGAATGAGTTTATTCTCAAGATTGTATTTCGACTTTTTTCTCAAAATTGACCAAGTTTTTTTCTCGAAACAACTTTATTCTCGAAATTTAATGAGTTTATTCTCAAGATTGTATTTCAACTTTTTTTTTCTCGAAATTTAACGAGTGTTTTTCTCGAAACACAACTTTATTCTCGAAATTAAATGAGTTTATTCTCAAGATTGTATTTCTACTTTTTTTTCTCGAAATTTCACGAGATTTTTTCTCAAAACGCAACTTTATTCTCGAAATTAAATGAGTTTATTCTCAAAATTATATTCAACTTTTTTTCTCAAAATTGAATGAGTTTATTCTCAAGATTGTATTTCGACATTTTTTCCTCAAAATTTAACGAGTTTAATCTAGCCTTATAATGACTTTAAAGGGTTAGTTCACCCAAAAATGAAAATTAAGTCATTAATTAATTACTCACCCCCATGCTGTACCAACCCCGTAAGACCTTCGTTCGTCTTCGGAACACAAATGAAGATATTTTTGATTAAATTTGAGAGCTGTATAACTACCACATTGGCTCCTAAGGGACTGCCTCTTGACGGCCCAGAAAGTCAATGAAGAAAATGTTTAAATATCCCAAAAAAGATCTGCTTCAGATCGCAATTCTCGCGCATGCGTCGTGGAAATCTAAGGAAGTCTCGTTCTGGCCTACAAGGAAGAAAAGAAATAGTCGAATAAACTCGTTATTTTTGTTTGTTTTTTCGCACAAAAAGTATTCGCGTCGCTTGACAAACATATAGTTTAGCCACGGTAGTCACTTGGGATATTTAAACATTTTCTTCATTGACTTTCTGGGCCGTCAAGAGGCAGTCCCTTAGGAGCCAATGTGGTAGTTATACAGCTCTTAAATTTAATCAAAAATATTCATTTGTGTTCCGAAGACGAACGAAGGTCTTACGGGGTTGGTACAGCATGGGGGTGAGTAATTAATGACTTAATTTTCATTTTTGGGTGAAATAACCCTTTAATATCAATATTTAATGAGTTTATTATCAAGATTGTACTTCAACTTTTTTTCTCTAAATTTAACAAGTTTAATCTCGCATTATAATGACTTAAATCTCGAGATGGTTTTTATTTTTTTTATCATTGCTTGGCCCTAATCCTCTTCCGTACGATTCAGTGTGAAAATGAATGGAAACACTTTTAAAATTCTCTGTATTGTTCTGACGGGCAGTGTATATTTTGACAATTTTGATTTGTATATTATACACAAACTTTGTGTATTATAAACATGATAACTTTGTATTTGTTTTTGCATTTATAGAAAAAAAAGAGAAAAAAAGAATAGCAGCAGCAAACTTCAGAGAACAAACAGAAAAATAACTAAATAGTGTCACTGGAATTAATATTATTAATTATTATTAATTAATTATTAATTCATATTTATTAATATTATTATTATTAATAATAACAATTATTATTATTATTGTTATTAAATAGTATTAATCTATTTCAAAACAGGTAGTGTAAATACTCAATTTCATCATTGTTTTGTGATATTTCTCTCTCTCGGGTCACTTACTGTATCCCATGCCTTGAATGAAGTACTTGAAGGCTTCTGTCAGTTTGCTGGGCTGTAAACACACACATTTCATTTACAGTTTCCATCCATTTAAAATGAATTACATTGATAAATAATCCATTTTAAATTGACGTGACATACCTGAGTCAGTTGTGGCATCCCTCCGGCGTCAGCCATCTGGACAACAAACAAGTACATCATTTGTTGGACTGATTTTCTCATAAACAACATGAATATTTTGGCTCAAATTCTGCATAAAACTTGGTGCAGTGCAAACCTTGAGGAATGAGGTGGTCGTTGGGTCTAGTTTGCTGTTGCACTCCACCTAGTGGACACACACACACACACACACAGTGAGAGGAATCATGGGGATTTGTGTATGAACATGTTTATTTGAGTAAAGACTCACAGCAGCATCTTCATACGGAGCCTGATCACCGACCACCAGCATCACAGGACATCTGAACACACACACACACACACACACGTGTCAAAAGAGGAGCAAACATAAGAGACAGATGCATTCTGGGTTTGCTTTCATCATTCTTACTTGAAAGTGTTGTTCCTCTCGATGCTCAGATCTCTGCGACTGTGAGAAGAGAAGCGCATCATTATAAAGTCATACTGTTCATAGCATGTAATATATTTACATTCTTGCTAAAGCACTTCTGGATGGATGCAATTGCATTTCGTTGCTTGTATTTGTGACATGCAATGACAATAAAGTTCTATTCTATTCTATTCTATTCTATTCTAAAGGCTGGCAGACTGTATTTGAAGAGTTCAGATGCAAAAGCCTCTAAGTGCAATTTGAAATTTTCTTCTAGAATGATAATTTTTTATCAAGCTTGTATATTTAAGTTCAGTAATTTCACTTAAATGGCAATGATAATTACCTATTAATTGTCATTTAAGTGAAATTACTGAACTTAAATATACAAGCTTGATAAAAATGGTCATTTTAGAAGAAAATTTCGAATGGCATTTAAAGGCTTTTGCATCTGAACTCTTCATTTGTCCTTCATTGCGTTGGATAAATTACATAACTAACACTTTTTTTTTTTTTTTGCATCACAAAAGTAACTTTTAATCCAAAATTAAACATGCGAGTACACTGAAACGAACACCTGGTAACGCTGTCCAATCACAGGCGAGTTACTTCCCTTACTTTGCCGGGGAAGTGTGTGTAAGTCAAATCTGCGCAGATTTAGCGCAAATGCAAAGTATGAATATCTATATAAATATAATCTTACTTGCACACACACATCACTACGCAACACATAACGGAGCGCTTGTTCATTTGCATTGAAGCAATAGTGGAGAAATATATTTCTATATAATACTAATGCGCTTTAGTGGTTTTAACCACTCAGGATGTGTTCATACACAAGATCCGTGACCCTTATTCATAATTCTGCATATCTATCCACTTTACATGTCACTGCATGATTTATTTATAGCAACATGAATGAGCAATGCAGACGATAGACTTGTGGTCTTCTGCAGATGTGTGGCTGACTTTGGTCGATTTATATTCGTGTTTTCAAGTGAAATGAAACATTAAGATCCGTTTGATGAATAATTGAGTGGAATTATTTTGATATTGTGTGATTTTACCCCAGATAACTCTTCCAGAAGAGCTCGATGTTGATGGCGTTCGGCGCTTTAGCCATTCTCTCTCTGTGAGACTGAATCAGGTCTGTGTTTGCTGATAGCTCTTCCTGAAAACACACACACACACACACCTTTATAATAACTATATTTTCCAAGTCATTCTTACGGACACATGATAGAAATTTAATAAATATATGGGAGGAAGAGTGAAATGTTACTGCGTTGTGTTCTCCTGCAAATGTTTGCCTTCCTCGAGAAACTTTGAATCTCAGGAGAACGTAAAAGAGTTTTAATATATGAGTTCTCCCGGTCCATCATTGTGTCCCTTCAGGGGATCCGTACATTCTCTCACATAATAAAGTCATCTATTTTTAAATCAATATTTTATACCCATACAGTGTTATTTTAGTATCATTATAGCTTTTATTCATATTTTATATTCCATATGTTTATGTTTTAGTATTTTTCTGTGTTTTTGTCATTTTTTGTTTATATATTTTTCACACATTTTTATTTAATTTTTGTTTTACTTATTTAAGAATATCAAGCTTTTAAATCATATTTCACTCAACATGTTTTTTTATTTTTTATTAAAGCAACAAAAATACAATTGATACATTTTTTATTAAATAAAAAAATAAATTTTTTTGGGTTTCTTGTGCAAAATTATTTTATATATCAGCAAGTAACACACACAAACACACACACACACACACACACACACCTCACACACATTCACACTCCCTCTCTCTCTCCCTCTCTCTCTCTCTCTCTCTCTCACACACACACACACACACACACCTGACTGAAGAGGTGGGTCATGATTTGTTCTGTGAGGGAAGACGTCAGGTTGGAGAGCTGCAGGAGAAACACAAAGTCATGTTCAGATTCATATTTGCGGAAATTAATATTCAGCGTGATAATGTTCAGCGGACAGACCTTGTGTGCGGCCCAGTCCATCCAGCCTCGTGCGTTTGTGTCCACGTTTACCAGCACCAGCCCTTCCACCGCCTCAGGATTACACAACTGTCACAACAGGAGACACACCAGTGAACGTCTACAGAGACATACGTAGTTCAAAGGCATTTTTCTGTTCAAAAACACGATCTCTTCCTTTCTTTGCCGAAATATAAGACATCAGTGCATGTTTCCTTTGAAAATAAGGCAAAACTATAAAATGCATTGTGATGTAAATTGATTGATTATTTTATGTTATAGTGTTTCGATTTTAGTATGTCTGCAAAGTGAAATAATCGTTAAAGTCTGTGTGTTTTGACCAGCAGAGGGCTTCATTCAGTCTTTGAGAGTTTGCTTGTGTCATATATGTTGTGTTCAGCATATTAATGTTTAATGAGAAAGAATCGAAATTTGAATTTGAACTAGGGATGGACGATATATCGGACAGCATATCGGTATCGGCCGATATATGTTCATTTTTAATGTTATCGTTATCGGCCTGGTAAGAAAATTTGGCCGATATATTAAAGCCGACAAAAAATGTATTATTCCCTTCAGCTGAGACACTTGTTGAGCACTGTTTATGTTTTTGAATTTCTTGAAATATGATTGAAATCTCTGATTCGGGACAACATGTGCATCGCAAATCTGTCGTATAGGCTATACAACACTATAATGAGAACATCATTATAATTGTGCGCTTGGGACATGGATTTAATTGTGAGACTTTTGTTTTTGTAATCAGGCTCTCAAAATTAGATAAAAGTTTATCGGCCGATATATCGGTTATCGGCTTTCAAATATAAAGAATTATCGGTTATCGGTATCGGCCAAAATTTTCATATCGGTGCATCCCTAAACTGAACTTTAACTCAAAACATACCAGAAATGTGCCAAAACATTCACTACACAGTCAAACTGAACTGAACAAAAAACTGAATACTGCAACCATTATTGACCAGAAATCAATAAAAAGGGAAAATTACAATAAACTACTGTATATGGAGACCTAAGATTAGTTTTCAACTGAAAACTATTGATAAAAACGTCCTGTACTGTATACTGTACCATGAAACTAATTCCCATAAATCATGATATTTGAACGATTCTCCAAGACACCATGGTGTTATTTTAATGTTTTTTTTGATATTGTCATGTTTCGTTTTGAGTTGTTTTTCATGTTTATTTCCAATGAGTGTTTATGTCGAGTCAAGTCTTTGTTTTGATCACGCACACTTGGGTTCAGCAGCTTTTCTCCAGTGGATTCGTTATAGATATTCAATATTATATGTATTATCACCTTGATTAATGAAATGCAAAATTTAATATGGTACTTTCCTGTTATCTGGACCCCACCATATCCCATTTGGTCTTAACCCCAGTGATGGGTAGGTTTAGGGTTGGGGTTAGGGGTGGGCCATCGTGGGGTCCGGATAACAGGAAAGTACCTTTAATTTCTGTATATTACCGGAAAAGCATAATATTTCACATAAAATAAATTAATCACGTGACACTCACGGTGAATCTGGACAGAATGTAAGCGCCGGCTCCGACTCCAACACCGATGATTGTGCGGAAACTAAAGCACAGGATCATGTTATGTATATGTCAAGTGTATTATGATTGTGACAAATGAAGATTTAAAGATGCGATGACTTGTTGTGACTCACTTGAAGAACTGCAGGACGGCGGGAAGCATCTCAGAGATCTGATCCATGGTTGGGTACTGGTATCTGTCAGAAAAAATACAAACGTTTCCAGGAATCTTAACACGTCTAACGCGAGACACGGCGGCCCGAGGACACGTAAAGCTTTAAAATAGACGCTGAGTCACAGTCTGCATCATTAACACCTTCTGAGGAGCTGAAGATGGTTTGACAGGCGTCACACAACATGCAAGAACAATTCTCACACTTTATAAACATCACGTACCCAGCAGGATAAATGGCTGCGCCTTCCTCTTGTCCAGGAGCATCGACATGAACCACAGTGAAGTTCTTCACGATCTCCTGCATCTCCTCAAACTTAAACAGGGTGGAGAAGCAGCTCTTACCTGAGAGACAGAGAACAAAACACTCATTTACCATTTAAAGGGACTTGCCCCGAAGATACAGTGTCTTGCTAAACATAGCACAATGCTGAGGGTTTCGTGAATAGCATGACTTGGGAATTCCTGACTTTATACAATTAAGTATTGTAAGTTAACACAGAAAAACAACACACAACACAACTCGTATGAGTGTTTCTCACATTTACATTCATACATGTATTTTTAATTTCATTTGGAGCATGTTCAAAACTACACCATAGGCCCAAAGTGGAGAAGATGGCTAATACCACGAACAAAAAGGATCAATTGAAAACAAAATTGAAAAGAAAGCTACAAGGCTTAGAATTTTTGCAGTAAAATGACCACTAGGCCAATGTTATATATTTTGTTTAGTTGATTACTTATAATCAGGGGCGTAGAATTTAGTAGCGACGCTAGTGACGTGTCCCTACCAATATCCACTGACAATGATATATCCCTAGCAATAATTTCACTCAAAACTTTAAATATGTAAATACATTTATGTCCCCGTCCGCACCAATTTCAAAATCAAACCTACGCCACTGCTTACAATATCCCAAATGTTTCTAACTATTTGTAAATCGTGCGAAAATTGCAATTTTAACCAAGGAAACGGTGTGTGTGAGCAGAGGTGAAGAGTCGCCGGTCAATGGCCACATACAGTGGTGTGAATAAGTGTTGGCACCCATTCTAAAGTTGCTTAAAAAGAGGAATAAAAAATCATCTTTTGGATATTGATCTTAATGCCTTAATTAGAAAAATGAGGAAAACTCCAACCTTTAAGGACACCAATTTTCTTTGTGAATGAATAATGTATCATAAATAAATAAATGTTTTTCCTTAAAATACAGGGTGTATAAGTCTGGGCACCCCTATGTTAAATTCCCATAGAGTCAGGCAGATTTTTATTTTTAAAAGCCAGTTATTTCATGGATCCAGGATAATATGCATCCTGATAAAGTTCCCTTGGCCTTTGGGATTAAAATATCCCCACATCATCACACACCTAGAGATTGGCATGGGGTGTTTCCATAAGATCATCTTTCAATGCAAATCAAACCAGCTATTAGGCTAACTGAAGTAAAACCATGCCAATCTGAAGGTGTGTGATGATGTGGGGATATTTTAATCCCAAAGGCCAAGGGAACTTTATCAGGATGCATATTATCCTGGATCCATGAAATAACTGGCTTTTAAAAATAAAAATCTGCCTGACTCTATGGGAATTTAACATAGGGGTGTCCTGACTTATACACCCTGTATTTTAAGGAAAAACATTTATTTATTTATGATACATTATTCATTCACAAAGAAAATTGGTGTCCTTAAAGATTGGCGTTTTCCTAATTTTTCTAATTAAGGCATTAAGATCAATTTCCAAAAGATGATTTTTTATTCCTCTTTTTAGGCAACTTTAGCATGGGTGCCAACACTTATTCACACCACTGTATCTGCGTTAGCCTCGGTTTCCACCAGGTTTGCGCTCTTAGAAAAGTACGTCTTTGCCCTGTACAGGCTTTTTTAGGTGACCCAATGCAGTTCATTTACTGTATTTCAAACAAAGTTCCTCTGAGTGGCTGGAAACAAATCACCCTGTTTAATAGCAATTAACTACTCATTTTCTTGTCCGTGATAGTGTGCAGGAGAATTTCCAGCACAGGCAACAATTACAATATAGCTGCCCACTGTACATTGAGTTATGACTACAAGCAACTCGAGGCAGTTGATGTGCCAATGCAGTTGCAACCCCAAACACAAGACGTTTTCATCATCGATTCAACTTCTGGATCCATCGGCTGGATCTCTTCAGTTAGTCAGTAAAGCCGCTCGCGTTCTGCCACCTGGAAGTATCTCGAGGTGCCTATTGTTTACAAACATTCTGAAATGCCGTATTCTAATAAAAAACTATGAGCGCGAGGCTAGAATTACCATTATTTAACTCTTTAAAACTCTTTAATTATGGAAAAAATGTATTGAAGGTCATTTGTTTCGTGTGGATATGGATATGCATGCATTACATTCATTAAAATCATTAATTTTACTATTGTGCATAGCCGAGGGTAACGGTTGCGTCACAACCAATTTCATGACCAGTTCCGTGTGACTGACACTAGAGGGCAAAATGCGAATGGCAGACTAAATAAAACATGGCTTGCAAAATGAACACTGGGCCGAGGAGGCTTCTCCACAGGCCTGAGAAGCCTTGCCGGTTAGACCAGACAAAAGGTAAGCTTCTGCGTTTAGATGTCTAATTCCTGAAGAAATTGTTCATTTGAGTCGTTTAAATGGATCGTTTGAACTCAAATAGACTCACTTCTGGAGAACATTCTAGTTACCACAAACTGTTCATGCAATAATAGAAATGTTTAGCGAATGCAACAGTTTGGTCTTCATACACTTTGCCTCTGTTTGTCTAGTTATAAACCCTCATCAAGTGTTAACCACATGCACTGAGTGTGAAGAGCTCATTGTTTGTGCACAGATGCTTTAAAACAGATGCAGCAACACTAGTGTTGAAAAAATTGTGTTTGTGGTGCATTTCCAAGAAACAAGGTGCTTTTTTCACACCTGCCTCCAATAAATATCAGTCCAGTGATCATCTCAGACACGACCGATGCTTTCTGAACGCAAGCTCACACTCATCGAGACTCTTCATTAACACGAGCTCAAGAACAACACGAAGGTAAACCTGCATTCTGTTCAAATGTGCATATATATATATATATATATATATATATATATATATGTGTGTGTGTGTGTGTGTGAGTGTGTGTAAAAAAATGTGATCTAGTTATTGCGTGAATGTACATTACTTACAGTAAAAGTTTTGGTGTAACACGTGTAAAGCAGATTAATGTTTCTTCATGTAATAACAATTCTACTATTAAAATGACAGTTGATGATGGATTGTGTGATTTTTTTCATGAACTTGACTTCATACATCCATTAAAAATCACCAGCTAAGAATGCAAACATGATGAAGAAACATGATCTAACACAAGATCCTGCAGCATTTGAGACTCGATCTAATGAATTACAATCATCTATATTATCCATATTAGCTTTATATGGCTACTTAATGGATAAAGTTCAAAATTAACATTCAACAGTAGATATTAATGTGATCAAAATGATGAATGGAGGCCTTTTATGAAATTTCGATTTAGTATGTCATCAATTTATTTTTTTAATCTCATAATTTTGATATATTCTGATGTAATTTTGATATAATCTGATATATTGAGAGATTTTCAATACAATACATTTTTAATTTTAAGTTATATATATATATATATATATATATATATATATATATATATATATGTGAAGAGTTCAGATGCAAAAGCCTCTAAATGCCATTTGAAATTTTCTTCTTTAATGATGATTTTTATCAAACTTGTATATTTAAGTTCAGTAATTTCACTTAAACAACAATTAATAGGTAATTATCATTGCCATTTAAGTGAAATCACTGAACTTAAATATACAAGCTTGATAAAAATGATCATTCTAGAAGAAAATTTCAAATGGCACTTAGAGGCTTTTGCATCTGAACTCTTCATATATACTGTATATATATATATATATATATATTTATTTATTTTCCCGTGGCAGAAACGGGCCTCCATAAATATTACATTAGAATAAAATAAGAATGAAAATTAGAAAAAAATGAAATAAATTTCAACTGAAGTACTAAAAACTGAAATAAAAATTGAACTAAAGCTAAATAGGGCAGATGGGTAATTGCTATTAAACAGGATGACTTGTTTTCAATCACTGTGAGGAACATTGTGGGGTTTGAAATAAATGAACTGCATTTTTTTAACTGATTTTTTAGATTTTTTAGATTTTTTAACTAATCTTTTCTCTTTACTAATGTCACTTTTCTTGATCATGTTTGAAGTGTTAATGTGTTTGAATCACATGTTAGTGATTTTTGGATGTGTGAAGCCAGCCTGTGTAAGGTTGAGAAGCCGGTTTTTTACATTGTAAAGATGTAAGTGATAAACAAATAAAATAAAAAAAAAGGACACAAACTTTTACTTAAAGGCAAGAAACGTGTTTTGGGTGTATTTTCACATTCAACTCTACTTCCAGACAACTAAAATAAATTACGTACAAAATCAGTTGTTCCAATTTAGAAGACTTAAAATATACCAATTTATACCAAAAGAACAATTGTTGTGTATTTATATTAAGTACATAAATATGTAAATATATGTGTAATATACATAAATTGCATTTAAATAATGCATTTCAAATATCTTTTAGGATATTTAAGTTTCACTATAGGGGCTTCATTTATGTTTGAACAAAATTTATATTGTAGTACATAGAATCATTTGCATCGAGACATCAGGCTTTATGTAAAGGCCTTAATATGAGTTAGATTGGTTATAAAATATATACGTGACCGACCAGGTTTGAATGATGACATGTTTCACTGCAGGAAAATGCTGACGTCATACACACAGATGGTTTGCATGAGAAGAAACCTTGTTAAAACAATTTCACACATTTTTATTTTCTCATAGCACAAGATAGTGAAGAGTGAACTGAGACTTGTTAAGCAGATTCTAAACAAGCGCTCTAATCAACTTCTAAACAGGTAAACTGACACGTTTTAATTAATTCAGAAAGTGTTTCTGACATTTTTTCAGATTTAATATGATCTGCTACAAATTTGGCTGAGATCTTCTTTAGACATCATCAACATGAAATTTGATATTTTTATCATAACGTTGCATTGAGTTTACAGAAAAGCAATGCGATGACAGGAGCACTTACTGGCAATAATGAATAAATATACACCATAAAATATAATGTCATTGAAATATTTTATTTTATTAGAAACGGTTTATTTCTATGAGTATTTTGAACTGAAAATTTGTTCAATCTTCAACTAAACTGGCTTAGATTCTCTTCAAGTAAACTTGAAGAAAGAAAAAAAAACACGTTCATGAATTTGGATAAATTCCATAAAGCCTAGATTAAAAAATAGAACTTTTATGTAGTTAGTTAGAAAAAGTGCCACATAAATTTAAAGTTATAAGAATTGGTGAATCTCCTCATATTTTTTTGAAAGAATTGTTCCTAAAAACCATAATGCAATGCGGAAACAACCAGTGTATGCAAATGTTATTGCTGTGTTTGGCCTACGGCTTTATTATATTGCAGAAGTTATTCATTAGTTGGTATCTTTTATTTTATTAACTTCCATCTAACTATGAATCACTGTGTGTGTTTCAGGATGAGATCTGTGTTTCTCCTTGTGCTCCTCGTGACTCTGGTGTTCAGTGAAGGACTGAATAACGTCACTTTCAGCAACAATCAACCTGAAATGCTTCCAGTTCCAGGTCCCTGCCAGACTCCCAATACAATCGACAAATACGTTAATTTTATAAGCAAACACATCCTCCTACTTGATTTTGATACAACACAGTTGAACAATTGGGGAAATTACCTAATAACAATGGGACTTTGTGGCAGAAGAGCTAAGGAACAATCTTTTCTAAATATATGGGACACCTATAAAATTACAAAAATCTGCAATGAACAAGGCACCATATACTCAGATAATATGTGCATAAGTACAGAAAAGTTTCTAGTGTATGTTGTTAAGAGCATTCTAAAGCCAAATGGACAATGTGATTATCAAATTCAGTACGAGAACTCGTATGTGATTGTTGCTTGTGACATCATTAGTTACGCTTGTTTGCCTGTTCACTTTGAAAGACAAACTGGCACAGAACCACCAAAACGCGGTCCGATCTGCAGACGTAAAAAGTTGAACTAACTTTACCTTTAGTAGCAAGTTCTACTTCATCTCTATGGGACATTTCACAAGATCACCATTAATTGAATTCAAACTTGCTCATAAGCTTCACTTCTATTATCTAACGGTACCATTGAGACGTTTGAAAGGTCATTTACAAATAAAGTAAAGGAAAATATTATGCGATTGTTAAATGTGAGAACAATCTAGCTCACAATGAACACACCGAAAACAACAGATGTCTATGTGCAACACAGAAGTAACCTGTTTTCTGCCAATGTGCGAGACTAGCCACTATAGGTGATTTTTATACACAGTACAATAATTTATACAACAAAACAGTGTGTTTATGATTTTGGTGATGCAACTGAAATGGTATGATAAAAACACACCAGTTTGTAATTGTAGCTTTTTTGTATATATATATATATATATATATATATATTCCACCCAATAAATATCAGACCAGAGCAGCTTTCTGACCTTCAGTGCAGACTCATCGAGACTTTTTTGCACGAGATCAACAAATGACGCAAAGGTAAATCTGCATTATGTTCAAATGTGCTGTAAAAAATAAATCCTATAGTTTAGATATGGAAGAATCCTCTATTGCTTCTGATTTGATTAATCATCTCATGTGAATCAACTTCTTCATATCAAGTAATTATCTTATGTAAAAGTTATGGTATAGAAATAAAACATATCTTTTATTTTATTTAATCAGAATAGAGGTTTGAATAACATGCTTCACTGCCTTTCAAAATATTAAATTAAGTCCGTCCCTCAAGGATGCATTAAATTGATCAAAAGTGACAGTAGACAATCATAATGTTGCAATAGATGTCTATTTCAAATAAATGCTGTTCTTCTGAACTTTCCATTCAAAGAATCCTGAAAAATTAGATGTTTGACCATTTTCACAAAATGATATAGCATAACTCTGTCACAATTTATGAATTCATTGTTTCCTTCTTGTCTCACGTTGCTGTTGTTCTGTGTGTATGGACACGTGCGAGTGGGCGTCACCACTCATTCTAGCTGATTGGCGATTCTGGAATGAGTGGTCCATAATCTATTTGATCAACTGGAAAGATTGGACTCGTTGACTCAATTTGATATTGAATTGTTATTAGATTTTAGAAAAAATAAATAAATATATATATATATATATATATACTGTATATATATATATATATATATACAATTTAACAGTATTATAAATATACTTAAATTATTTTGTTTTTTAAAAAAAGTCAATCACTTTGTTTTTAGCAATTTAACATTCTTGAATGTGATTGTATGTTTGACAACTGAATGGACTTGCTCTTAGTAACCTCAGTTAATACAGGAAAAGAGGCAGGATAATCTGATGCAAGGCAGGTTTTGAAAACTTGAACCGTTGGACCACGTGCAGTTATAATTACATCAGACTTTCAGAAAGTAATGCTTTTTTTTAACAAAGATTTGTATTTTATATATATTTGTCATTGTTTATGTTAAACAAAGTGGATTACTAACAATAAGCGATATGCCAACTTTAAGCAAAATCACATTCTCCCAACTGGGTTTCAAACAGATAATGAAACTTCATCCTCTGAGAGACGACCCAACGCCGGCGATATGTTAGGCCCTAAATTCATAAATGATTAACTAACTGTATTTTTTTTCTATGTACATTTCTGAAATGCACTTTCTGTAAAGCTACTTTGAAACAATATGTATTGTGAAAAGCACTATACAAATAAATCTGAATTGAATTGAATAGAATTGAATCAAACTGCTTGGGTGAAATACCAATAATCTCTGACAAAACTCCAGTACAAGCCTTCATCAATGACAAAATAGATAATGTAAAACAAATCTCTAACTAAACCAAACTATAATAATACCAAAAGCAGAAGACTCTTTTAAGTGTACAATGTTACCAGTAAAACAGTTCAGTAGGTCAACACATTGAACACATGTACATACACTTGAATGATCGGCTGCATTGCAGGAAATGCTGACGTCAAACACACTAACATTTGCATGAGAAGAAACCTTGTTAAAACAGTTTCCCACATCTTTATTCTCTCACAGCACAGAACACCGAAGAACTGAGACTCGTTGAGACTATATCAACATCTAAACAGGTAAAATGACACCATTTCATAAAAAAAATGAAAAAGCGTTTCAATATACTCAGATGTTTTATGATATTTGCTGTAAATGTGTATGGTTTGTAAATATTGCACATCATTTTTATGTTTAGTAGCCAAATACTATTGAGCTGAAAAACTATTTCTGCTATAACTTTTAAACCGAATCGACTAGAAACCAAATCTTAAAACTTATCTGATACAAATGTTGCTGTGTTGACAAAAGTCATTATCAAATTAAAGTTAAAATTATAAAATTAGCTAATTATAGTTACAGTGAATTGAGACACTTGACACTTAACAAACTGATGGCATCAATAAATAAATAAATGTACAGCATTTGTACAAACCATGGTCAAAAACATATCAATGTAATATAATATTATATACGGATACTTTAACCCTTATGCTGCATTAGGGACATTTTTGGTCTTTTGCAGTTTAATTTCTTTGACCATTTTGGCTGTTTTAATGCAAATGGTGTGAAATTTGGCAAAATTGTGACTTTTTGGATACATGTAAAAAATGTGATCCCATTTTGCAAAATATGTATAACACACACTGTGTAGATCAAATAGTAACACTCAGCACCATAAAGACCAAAAATGGCCCATTGAAACCCATTAAAACGTTGTTTAAATCTGAGGCTGTCAGTAATACATGAAACATGATTTTTGCACAAACATCCTTTCATTTTGAAGCAAAAGCATTATATTTGCATTATATAGTGTATTCCACCAGATGACGTCACTACATATTTATTCCCTATGGGTGGAAATGCACCTTATTTTAGGCAATAGGCAATGTTTAATAGGTGGCCATTTTTGGTCTCTAACGCGCTAAGTGGGATTTTTTGCAAAGTGGGACTGTGATAATCCAAATCTAAAGTTTTCTCTTTGCATTTAGTTTATTGAAAATAATTGAATTTTTGTGTTTTTTCCTCTTATACAAATCGATGGTTTCGCAAACAAAACTGGCAAATAAAGGGTTAAAATCCTGAAATTGAATACATTTTTGGTAGTTATGATGAGGACTGATGCTGGTTAAAAGATTTAACTTGGTAAAAGTGGAAAATAATAATAATATATAATATTTTAGCCAATGTTTAATATGTGGCCATTTTTGGTCCTTAATGCACTCAACGGTGTTAAAAATCGAATGCAGCACAAGGGTTAAACTGATTAAACCGATGAACAAAGTTTGTCGAAACTTCAACAAAGCTGGTTCAGATTATCACCGTTTGCTTGTGAAATGTTATTGAGTTTGGTTCATCTCCATGAACCATTGAGAAAATAGCATTTACATTTTTTAGTAAAGGTGCCGCATATCAATACATTGTCAAAATAGTTCATTAGCTTGCGTTTTCTGAATCTGTGTTTCTCTTCTGTGTCCAGGATGAGATCGGCGCTTCTCCTCGTGCTCTTTCTCACGCTCAGTGATGGATCGAGTAACGTCAGCGTCAGCGACACTGAACCGGACGTGTTTTCGAACCCTTTTTCTATCCGGGTAGGCCTACAACCCTGCGAGATATCTCGCGATAACAACGGATACAACAGGTTTAGACACAGGCACGTGCTCTCGCGTAGTTTCGACACCAGACGGGCACAAGAGTGGGAAAATTACCTAATGACAAAGAATCTGTGTGGCAGAGAACTTGTGCAATCCTTCCTCCCTAAAAGCGACGACGAAAGCGTTGTGAGAATCTGCAACGGACGAGGCAACAGAGACACGGGAAACCAGTGCATCAGTATGAGAAAGTTCAAGGTGCACATTGTTCGAAGTGCTCTCAGAGATGGACAATGTGTAGTTCGGTCTCCAGTCGAGTCTGTGGAGCGTTATGTGACTGTGTCGTGTGAGGTCCTTCAAAACCAATGTTTGCCTGTTCACTACGTGAGACAAACCAGATTTAGACCATCCCCACCCGGGCCGACCTGCACACCTCGGACAGTTTAGCAGATGTTAAGGCACGTGCGCTTCAATGTACACTGTAAAAAAATATTGATGGTTTAACTTAAAATTTTAAGGCAACCAGGTTACTTACTTTTTTAAGTTGATTGAACTGGAAAAAGTGAGTTAATAGAATGAAGGAGATTAATTTAACCATCAGAAACTCAAAATTATATGTTATCTGAACTAAATAAATTATTATAAAGTTGATTTGACAAAAGAAAATAAGTTGTGATAACAAATCTTGAAAATATTTTTTTACAGTGTATGTCGGATTTATTTTCTTATTTAGAAACTGCTAGTAAATGTCACAAATAATCACAAAGAAATGGCAATTAAATATGAAATTTGGATATTGAAAGAGTGAAATAGTATTTTCATGTAAAATGTAATTTGTTATCACAACATTTTTTTCTTTTGTCAAATCAACTTAAATAATTTATTTAGTTGAGATGACTTATTATTTTGAGTTTCTGATGACTTCATTGTATTAACTCACTTTTTCCAGTTCAATCAGCTTAAAATTTTAATTTTTAAGTTAAAACAACAATATTTTTTACAGTGTCCATGATGTTTGCCAAAAGCAGCATAATCTGTAATAATCGAATGCAAACATTTACTTCTTTACTTCATCTAACAGTATCAGTGAGACTTAGTTTACGACTGAAAATGTGGGAAATGCAAATATTATGTAATTGTTAATTGTGACAAACAATCTAGAAGAGCTGAATAAGGCTTGAAATGCTTTGGCATTGCTAATATGCTTAATACATGTTTAAATGTTTAACATCTCATAAAGCTTTCTTTTTATAGTTTCGGTATTATAAAACGAACTCGCTGAATGTATGGCTTGAATGCAATGCAAGTCGCTGTTTTGAATAAAAGCATTTGGCATCTCAGTTCTTTTGTCAAATTATTGTGAAAACCTTTAAAGTGGTATGATGTACAAATATGCCAAAGACTTTTAAATCAGGATCTGTTCTAACATTTGAATCATTCGCATTTTAATGCAAGGACAGAATCTCAGAAGATGCAGAAACTGCTAGTAAACTGTGCTTGATGGCAAGAAACGCATTTGCAGGGCATAAAAATACAATAAAAACCTTTTTCCAGCCAATAAATAGAGGCGCTCAGACTCTTTCATTTACACCAGCTCAAGAAACACAAAGGTGAATCTAAATACAGAACAAATGTAAATCACACTGTTTAGATATCAGAATATGTTATGTTTGAGTATTATTGTAGTCTAGTAGTGCATACATGTAGTACCAATAGATTTGTAATTATTGCACGGTTTAGAGTTTAGACTTCACTCTCAGAAAAAAGGTACAAAAGCTGTCACTGGGGCTGTACCTTTTCAAAAGGTACACTTTTGTACCCAAAGGCTGCATATTGGTACCTTAATGGTACATATTAGCATCTAAAATGTACATATTAGAACCTAAAATGTACATATTAACACCTAAAATGTACATATTAACTCCTAAAATGTACATATAAGGACCTAAAATGTACATATTAAGACCTAAAATGGACATATTAGCTCCCGAAATGTATATTAACACTTAAAATTTACTTATTAGCGCCTAAAATGTACATATTAACACCTAAAATGTACATGTAAGGACCTAAAATGTACATATTAAGACCTAAAAATGGACATATTAGCTCCCGAAATGTACATATTAACACTTAAAATGTGCATATTAGCACCTAAAATGTACATTTTACGACCTAAAATGGACATATTAGCTCCCGAAATGTACATATTAACATTTAAAATGTACGTATTAGCGCCTTATGTAGATATTAACAGCTAAAATGTACATATTAGCACCTAAAAATGTCATGTAAGGACCTAAAATTTACATATTAAGACCTAAAATGGACATATTAACACCTAAAATGTACATATTAACACCTAAAATGTACATGTAAGGACCTAAAATGTACATATTAGCTCCCGAAATGTACATATTAACACTTAAAATGTACTTATTAGCACCTAAAACGTACATATTACGACCTAAAATGGACATTAGCTCCCAAAATGTACATATTAACACTTAAATGTACTTATTAGCACCTAAAATGTACATATTAGCACCTAAATGTACATATTAGCACCTAAAATGTACATGTAAGGACCTAAAATGTACATATTAGCTCCCGAAATGTACATATTAACACTTAAAATGTACTTATTAGCACCTAAAACGTACATATTACGACCTAAAATGGACATATTAGCTCCCGAAATGTACACATTAACACTTAAAATGTACATATTAGCACCTAAAATGTACATATTAAGACCTAAAATGTACATATTAGCTCCTGAAATGTACATATTAACACTTAAAATGTACATATTAGCACCTAAAACGTACATATTAGCACCTAAAATGTACATGTAAGGACCTAAAATGTACATATTACGACCTAAAATGGACATATTAGCTCCCGAAATGTACATAGTAACACTTAAAATTTACTTATTAGCACCTAAAATGGACAAAAGTTTACCTTTCAAAAAGCTTTTGTACCTTTTTTTTTATGAGAGTGTTTCATTAAGTTGATTACCTTCAGAACTATTTCAGTTCTCTGTGCAAAACTAAGCGTTTTTAAAGACTATCCCTGTCAGTGATCTATAATATGCATACAATGCTTAAGATGATTCCCTCGGATGATTTTGAACAGATTACCTAACAAAAATGTGTCTTTGCAAAAAAAAAAAAAAAAAGGGTGTATTTTTACACCTCCCTTTTTTCAGCCCAATAAATACGAGTTGAGTGACGCTCTCCGACCTTCGGCTCAGACTCGTCGAGACTCTCTCGTTTGCACAAGCTCAAGAACGCCACAAAGGTAAATCCTCTTCAATATATACAGTTCAGACACTGAAGGATCCGCTTTGATTAATCATATTATCTTAATCTCTCCTCTTAACTTCTTCACATTACGTAAATCTTTAGTCAAAGCTAGTTTAGTAATGCAACATCTTTCATTTAACTTTCATTTGACTCAATCAGAATAGAGGTTTGAATAATGTTTCACTACACTAAAAAAAATATTGTTGGTTTAACTAAAAAAAAGTAAGTATAACCTGGTTGCCTTAAAATTTTAAGTTGATTTAACTGGAAAAAGTGAGTTAATACAACAAAGGTGATTAATTTAATCATCAGAAACTCAAAATAATAAGTTATCTGAACTAAATAAATGATTTAAGTTGATTTGACAAAAGAAAAAAAAATATTTTTTTTACAGTGTACTGTTCAAAATGTATGAATTTTCTTTTAAAAGTTCATCAATGATGCATTAAATTGATCAAAAATGACAGTAAATACTGTAAACGAATAAATGCTGTTGTAAATTTTCGACAAAACGTCTCGCCTACGTCGAACGTGAGCGACTGATGGGGAACTATAAAGCAGCGCAACTGTTTTCAACACTGATAATAATCTCATAAATGTTTCTTGAGCATCAGATCCTCATATTAGAGTGATTTCTGTAGGATCATGTGACACTGAAGACTGGACTAATGATGAAGAAAATACAGCTTTGATCACAGGAATAAATTACAATTAAATATATATTCACATAGAAAACAGCTGTTTTAAATTCTAATAATATTTTCACTTTTTTTACTGTATTTTTGATCATTTAAATGTAGACTTGGCTTATTTTAAGAAGCACTTTCTGACCTCAAACTTTCTGACACTGGTGTCCGTTATATTGCAGTAAATGCTGATGTCAAAAACAAGAGAAGAAAAACTGTGAAAACGGTTTGACAGCACAAAATACCCAGCGAGGGAAGAGAGACTCGCTCAACAGTCGAGGGTTGCTGAACCGTAAACTATGGGGATGTTCAATTCAGAAAGTCTAATAAATCTGAAGTAGGACATAAATTCTATTGAAAATGTACTTTTTAAAACTCGTCCTGCAGTTTTAATCGGATATTTAACACTGGATGTTACGGAAGCGTACTGCGTTCACTTGAGGAAAAAAAATCTTGAATTAACAAGTTTTCTTGAAAAACATTTTTTTTTATGAATTATTGAGTTACTCATAATTCTGAGATAATTAAGTGATAAAATTGAGAAAAACAGAGCAAAAACTTTTTTTACATGAAAAATGATCTCGTAATTCTGATATAATAAACTCGTTAATTCAGAAAAAAAGTGAATGTAATTCACATCCGTATGAGCTGGTAAAGAAAAAAATATCTTTTAATATTACTTCGAAACTTGAACAAAGTCTGTCTAATCTTCAACTAAACTGCCTCAGATTATACTTTAAAAAGTTATTCAGTTATTTTGCAATGCAAAAATGAATTGCGATTAATCGCATCCAAAATAAAAGTCTGTGTTTACATAATATATTTGTGTGTGCTGTATATAATTATTTTGTATATATAAATACCTATGCAAGCATGTATATACTTAAGAATTATTTGTGCTTAAATTCTGTATATATATAAATACAAAATCTATATTATAAATATTTTATATATGAAGAGTTCAGATGCAAAAGCCTCTAAATGCCATTTGAAATTTTCTTCTTTAATGATGATTTTTATCAAACTTGTATATTTAAGTTCAGTAATTTCACTTAAACAACAATTAATAGGTAATTATCATTGCCATTTAAGTGAAATCACTGAACTTAAATATACAAGCTTGATAAAAATGATCATTCTAGAAGAAAATTTCAAATGGCACTTAGAGGGTTTTGCATCTGAACTCTTCATATGAATAACACATTTTCTTAAATATATACATGCATGTGTGTGTATTTATATATACAAATTAATTATATACAGCACACACAAATATATTACAGTATGTAAACACAGACTTTTATTTTGGATGCGATTAATCGCAATTCATTTTTGCACAACCCTATTATTCAGCTATAAATAATGTTGAATATCATCATAGTCTGTGAAGTAATCATTCCTAAACACACAAAGCAAATGCTGTTGATGTGTTTGGCCACATAATTTCTGGTTACAGCTTTATTATGTTGTAGAAAAGCCTGTGTTTGTTCTCTTACTAACATGTGTGTGTTTTCAAGATGCGGTCTGTGTTCCTCCTCGTGTTCCTCGTGACTCCGGTGTTCAGTGAAGGATTGACTAACGTCACCTCCGTCGCCGATACCGATACGCCCGAGATGTTTTCTAGCTGGCCATATCCCTGTCAGGGAGCCTCCAATCTAAACGCTTTTCATGTGTTTTACAACCAACACGTCCTCCAATATAATTTCGACACGTCGCAGACGCACACCTGGGCCGATTACCTGAAGAAAAGGAGTCTTTGTGGCGTAAATCCTCACCAGGCTTTTGTGCATAAGAACGACGGCAACGCCATTGTGGGAATCTGTCACGGAGGAGGCGTCAGAAACTCCCGAAACCTGTGCGTCAGCGCGAGGAAGTTCAGGGTGTTCATCGTTCAGAGCGTGTGGAGAAACGGACGGTGTGTAGTTCAACTCCAAACCGAGATCGCTCACGTGATCGTCGCGTGCACTAATGCCGTGTTTTCTGCCCAACCTCCAATCCCAGTCATCCACTGCATCCCCGTTCACTTCGCAGGGATCGTTAACACGACTCCGTCACTTCACGGTCCGCGCTGCAAACGTTAGTTACCTCATATCTAGAGGAAGAGCTTCATCACCCGTCTGTCGTCACTCTGCTTTAAGACATTATCTTTTCAATTGTTTGATTTAGAGCATTTACATATTTTTTAATATTGTTACCGTTTCATTCTGCTTACTTAAACCAGTCATACCTTCAACAGAAGGCAGTTCGTAACGCTTGTGGTGTACCCCAGGGTTCTGTACTTGGACCTCTCATCTTTCTCATTTACATCCTCCCTATTGCCACGGTCTTAAAGGGTTAGTTCACCCAAAAATGAAAATTCTGTCAGTATTTACTCACCCTCATGCTGTTCCAACCCCGTAAGACCTTCGTTCATCTTCGCAACACAAATTAAGATATAAGATATTAAGATCGCTCCTGCATACTATTCCATAGGCTTCTTGAGGGAATGACTCTTGCTGGCATCGAAAAGTCATTAAAGACATCGTTAAAATAGTCCAAGTGACTACAGTGGCTCAATCTTAAGTTTATCAAACGACGAGAAAAAACAACAACAAAAATAACGACTTTATTTCAACTATTCGTTTATTTCTCCCTCTGCCTCGAGTCAGGTTTCTAGTTTAATAGCGTAAGCTTCGGTTATTGTACGTCACACGCATCACACACACATGACCAGCGTCGGCCAATAGTAGGGTTGGGTATCGAGAATCGAGAATCGAGTATCGATTGGCATCGGGACTAACTTTTTGTTTTTCCCGGAATCGTTCAAAAGTTAAAATTTCGATTCCTAGCTTCGATATTCACAGTCCGCCGAGCGGAAGAAGAAACCGCTGAACAACACCAACGAAGAAGCGTCTACCGGAAGTGTTGGCATAACCGCGCGATTCGAACATGAGTACCTTACGTCGGCGATCCAAAGTGTGGCTTCACTTTTCTAAAAATAAAAAAATCTTGGCAAAATGCAAAATTTGTGACTAAAGGAGTATTTGTGACAGAAGGAGTATTTCCATCAGAAAGGAGTATTTCCTTCAGAAAGGCCATTGGTTAGCAAGGTTAGCTAAACTTTTTTGACCCCGCCTCTTAAAAGAATCGGAATCGAGAATCATCAGGAACCGGAATCGAAACAAAGAATCGGAATCGGAATCAGAATCGTTCGAATTCAAACGATACCCAACCCTAGCCAATAGTGAGCCTACGTGTGACGTAGCTTTACGCAATCACACTACGTTAACTGACTACAGGCCCGTGGAGAAGGAAGTGAATAGTTGAAATAAAGTCGTTATTTTTGTTGTTGTTTTTTTCTCGTCGTTTGATAAACTTAAGATTGAGCCCCTGTAGTCACTTGGACTATTTTAACGATGTCTTTAATGACTTTTCGATGCCAGCAAGAGTCATTCCCTCAAGAAGCCTATGGACTAGTATGCAGGAGCGATCTTAATATCTTAAATATCTTAATTTGTGTTCCTTACGGCGTTGGAACAACATGAGGGTGAGTAAATACTGACAGAATTTTCATTTTTGGGTGAACTAACCCTTTAACTTCCACTGTTATGCAGATGATATCCAACTCTACTTTACCATTCCCTCTCCCTCTGATCCACCACCATGCTTCTCTGACTTAAAGTTATGTACAACTTCTTCGTGACTGTGCTTCTCTTCCCTTCTTTAAAACCTTTGTGTTTAATGAGCATTTCACCACAACAAACTCATAGCTTCACATGTTGTGTTGTTTTGGTTGTTTACTGTTGTGTTTCATTGTCTGTCCGCTATGCAAAGTGACCCTGGGATTGTGAAAGGTGCTATATAAAATAAACACATTAATATTATTATGGATCACAGTAACTGTATTATATAATATATAATACTAATTACAGTTACTGTATTATATTTTACACTTAGCTTAAAATATTTCATATTTTTTACCAGAAAATATTAAAAATGTTACATGATTGAAGTCTCTTTATGCTCACCAAGGCTGTTTTTATTTGATCAAAAATACAGTAAATACTGTAAAATTGTGAAATATTATTGCAATTTAAAAGAGCTGTTTTCTATGTGAATATATCAGTAAAGTGTAATTTATACCTGTGATCAAAGCTGAATTTTTCAGTCTTCAGCGTCACACGATCCTTCAGAAATCATTAAAATAAAACGGTAACTTTTGGTGTTAAAATTCGTTTTGTCGCTTTATATATTATTAGGAAACTGATACATTTCCAATCAAAAGTTTTAAAGTCAGATTTAAAAGGAAAAAAAAAAAACATAGATTAATACTTTTATTCACCAAGGATCAAAAATGGGATTTATAATGATTCAAAAGATTTCTATTTCATAAATGTTGTTCATTACTTCACATAATTACTGTATTTTGTTCAAATAAAGACAGCCTTGATGAGAATAATAAAGTTTTAAAAGAAATGCAAAGGGAACATCATATTTACGGGTCTGTGGCAGCAAAACGTACAAAACTAAAATCACCCTGATTAGAAATGTCCAATTGGTGAATCTGTTGATATCAGTGAATCAGTTTGTCATGTTTTAAGAAGAAACATGTTATATGTTGTTTTGAAGAAATGATTTCTGTTTTATAACTGTGTTCAATCAGGATGATTTCCAAGTGTGATTAAGACAACAGAACTATTTTTTAAGCTCTTTTATGTTCTGTGGAAATGGCGTTTTTATTTATTTATTTTAAATCAAAGTTGTGTTATTTGTTTTAAAAATAAAAAGTGTTTGGCTTGATTGTTTGCATTTTAAAAACAAAGTTCAATTCTTGCCAAATATAAAGGCTCTTTCACAGCGAAAGTGAAGTGAATAATCCTCAGGCTGAAGGAAATGCCCATTTACTCCGGTAAAGTAGAGGGCGCCGCTCAAACAAACCTTTACACCACAATGATGTATTAAAAACAGAAAAGAGTTTTATACTTGTTTTTGCGTACAGACCACAACGTTGTCAAAATGATCCCAGCTCAACGGATAACGATAAAAACGCTGCATTTTTCATGCCAGGCCAGTAGGTGGCGATATCACTTTGTAAAGAAAGGTACTGACACACACAAGCACCATTTTCACAAATTAAACAGAGACGATCACAGTATCGATTCAAAAAACTTACACTATGAATCCAGTTTTCAAAAGATTGCGCTTTCATGCCAAAAATGCATAAAAAATTAAAACCGTGTGAATAAATATAGCAATAGCAATAAAACAAACAAAAGAAAAGAAACAGAAAAATATGAGCTAAAGTCATTTTTTCTAGTATGGTTGAATTGGTCAATAAAATGAGTTTATATTAGTCAAATTAAATGCATTTGCATAATATTGTAAGTTTGCATTTCATCGTTTTAAGGGACACTGAATATGATTTGGTGAGAGTAAGTTGATTTGCATGCTGACATTTAGTCTAGAACAATTCGTTTTTGAACATTTAGTCTCGAACATGACCAACGCAACCTCTGATCTCTCTCAACTTGAGGACAGGAGCTGTCAGTCAAGAAGTATGAAAACAAAGTAATTCGCATTACTTGTGAAAAAGTAGCTAAATTTAAAAGTAATCCGTTACTTTACTGATTACTTGAAAAAAGTAATCTGATGACATAACTGGCAATACTTATGATGCGTGAGTCAGTGTGTGTGTGTGTGTGTGTGTGTGTGTGTGTGTGAGAGAGACTTACTGTCCATTCCCGCATCATGTATGGTCAGTATGGCGGGTCTGCGAGCGTTCCCGGCGCCGTGAACCGTCACATGAAGCACTCCGTGAGGCGTCTCCACACTGTGCTCCTACACACACACACACACACACAAACGCTTGAGGAAACAACACTTGTGTGCATTTATAATTTAAGATTATTAATAATGGGTCGCTGGCATGACATGTCAAGCAGAGTGACATGCTAAACTACATATTAACCTCATTTTAACAACATTCTGCATGCAAATTCACACTAAAGAAAGATAACACTCATCCGTCCCTCACACTTTGTAACACACCTTTCCCTCGCGGGTCAAAATGACCCAAAGCCCTCAAATTATACTTTTTTTTTTTTTATTTGATTTTTTTTTTGTCCAAAAAGCTGTTTTTTATTTCATTTTGATAATATCTTCGGTATTTTTGATGACATTTTCCTCTATTTTCTATTTTATTTATGTTTAAAATACTAGATTTGATCAATAAATATGAAATAAATAGTCATTCCACACATATTTTCAACTAGGCTATAATTGCATGCTTAAACCCTTTTAAAATCAGCTCTAAATATCTTACATTGTAGGTCTCTGTCGACCTCCTGTGGAGAAAAACTAATATAACAGCATATTTCATAACTCTATATGGCCTTATATCTCTACATGGAGCAGACGAGCTGTTCCTCTGGGTCCTAAAGTCAGATAGGCTTCGATATACATTCAGATACACATGTAGACATTATTAAATAACTTTTTTTGTAAAGTTTTAGCATTTTTAGTTTGAATTTTGAGCATTTTTAGGGTTTTCTATGTGACTGAAGCAAACCTCACACTAATCTCATTGCGGGATATTTTTTTTAAATTTCAACCACAAAACTCCCCGAATCCATTTGTGTGTGTGTGTGATGAACTCTCAATGATTGAACACTTAGTTTTTCTAAATGACCCGAGGGAAGGACGAGGGTTTTAACACACCAGTGATCAGTCAACCACACACACACACACATTGAGTGTGTCACGAATGTTTTAACACACCTGGTCTTGATCCAGCAGCATTCGGGCCGCGATCTCCACGTCCTGCACACAAAAACCACAGCGGATATCAGTTCACATAATCACTGTGTACCTGTTACACACACCGCTTATAACTGAATATAACCATTTAGTGCATTAATGATGAACTGGAGAGATGTTAACACTCATCCATATAAAAATCAATATCCATTAACCCAGTGAACCTACAGGGGCTCAGCTGACAAACACACACACATATTTAACATATTATCAGGGATATTGCACATTTGGTTTTTAAAAGAGCTTTAAATAAATATATATTTTATAAAACTGTGAAAATAAATAAAAAAAATAGGATAGAAATGTATTTAAAATGTATTAAAACAATTAAGAATTACAGAAAAGAATGAATAAATAAAATGACGCAGAAGTGTTGCGTTTAACAGACTTGCATCAGTTATTTTTTTTTTTTATACATTTATTTATCAACTTTTTCAAAGCATTAACATAAAGCAGATACAATCAAAGTTAAAGCTTTTCCCCCACAATAACCCATTCCACCAAAATAAATAACAATATATTACATACAAGTCAAGGCAACAATATCAATAACAATAATAATAATCCCCCCCAAAAAAATCAAAAATAAATAAATAAATAAATAAAATAAAATAAATAAATAAATCAGTTATTCATAATCACGATCCACTGCATTACGACACATCTGATGATGAAGTTCTTCAAACGTGCAGCAGGTGGCAGAAGAGTGTGTGTGTGTTACCTTGACAGCGTCGGATTGACCCGGCAGTAAAGGCTTCTCCTCTGTGATGGCGATCTCCTGCATTTCAGTCGTCATGGTGATCGGATACTCTGTCCTGAAACACGAAACAGAGGAAAATCACAATCACTGCGGCAAAAACAGCCACGTCACAATACTGTGAACACACACACACACACAGACATGTGTGTCTGTATTCCAGCGGGACAATCACGACTCAGCTGGGTTTTACTCATCTTAATTAGAAATTACTGAAAGAACAAATTAACATAGAGAGAGAGAGAGAGAGAGAGAGAGAGAGAGAGAGAGAGAGAGAGAGAGAGAGAGAGAGAGAGAGAATTTTGACACACAATATTCTTGCTTGTCACACAATTTGTGAAACCTGACACCTTAAACACCAGTAACACACACCAAATCTGCATGAAATCTGCTCTCTATGAAACACACACAAATCTAACAGGAATAATCTTGATTTCCTTTTGTCAAAACGGCCAGAAATTCATCAGAGCCTCACACACACTCCTCACACACTGCTTTACCGAACACCAATCAATCGTGGGTTTAGAATAGGCCTATAACAGGTCAAAGGTCAAGTTCTAGATGTTTTTTTTTTTTTCTTGAATCTTGTATCAAACTTACAACAAGGCACATCAAAACCATCTTTAGACAATCTTACAACATGAATTGAACATGGAGTGCAACAATGTAAAAGAAAAAAAATAGCAATAATAAAAAAATAACTAAATAATAATAAAATAAATAAATAAAGAAGAAACCAAGAGACTAGGAAATAATTTGCATAAGTATTCATGACAAATTAGGGCTTTTTTTGTTTTACAGCATTTCAGGGAGAATTATATCATTTAGAAAGGCATTAAAAACAGGGGATGTTTTAAGAAATCAACATTAATGTATGAAATATTTGGCCATTAAAATCAGATTATTTACTCCAAACTCAGTTTTTCTGTTCTCCGTTTGAAGTCCAAATTTAATGTGTTCATTTGTTAAATTTGGAATATTTTGTGTATCATACGTGATCCAAGTATCCCAGAAGGTCTGGGTTACACTACAAAAGAAGAAAAGATGTTCTGCGGTTTCGATGTCAGAATTACAGAAAGTACAAACATTCACATCCATATTAAATCTTTGATGCAAGAAGTTGTTACATGGATGTCGAGTTCTAGATGTTTCGCACTGTGTAATACTGTATTCATAACTACAAACACTTACAGTAAAAACATAAATACGTTGGTTTCAATCTTGCTTTCGTGTTTACTGTGAGTTTTTCAACATCTCTGCGAGTTTGTACAGAAATGTCATGAAAGAAGAGCTTTAGGTTCAGGATAACTGTGTGTGTGTGTGTGTGTGTGTGTGTGTGTATGATGATATATCCAAAAATATAATATAATATGTCATAGGTGTTTGTACGTAAGATAAGATGAATGTTCGCTTTTGAGATGTGTGTGATGTTTTGATGCAGTGCTTCATTTTGCAAGAGATGTGAGGCATTCTGGGCAATTCTTGGATTTGTGTGTAAAGTTTTGAAAAATAAAGAGATAATGTGTGTGAGCAGTTGAAATAAACATGTGTTGCTGGGAAAAGAACAGGTTCCGTTTTTAAGTCAAAATGGAATTGTGGAATGTTCCTAAAGTTCCGTCGACATCTTTAGAATGCGCAGCCGACGAATATACGACAAGCGGAACAAATCAATAATAAACATAAAAAAAACAGTTTCAGTTTAAAAACTGGGTGATAATAATGCAAACACAAATGTGCAACATGACTATTAATTCCAGACAACAACAACAACAACAGTGTGATTTAATAACCCAATGACTGATGATTCTCAGTTTGATTCTGAACTGCTTTGAATCAATTAAATGACTCACTGACTGAATCAACTGGAGCGGTTCTTCAACGAACCACGTGAACTCACTAAAGACGTTCGGCTGTCGTGGTTCTCTAATATTTAATGTAATATTTCTCACAGACATCTTGAAACGTTTTAAAGCAGAACTCACTCGGAAGCAGGAAGAGAACATCTGATCGACGTTGAAGAAACGTGTTTATATGCCATGATGATTATAGACAAGAATGAAGGTGAACGAATTAAGAGTTAATATGAGCAAAATCACAGTAATATGAGAGAAAACAAATCAAAACACACACTTCTTGTTTTGAAGAGCTTTAGCTGACACTGCGTGCCTCAAACTAACTCTGGTTTGAATCAGAATCGTAGTTGAACCAATCCAGTGATGATGTCAGAACATCAGCCATGAAGCTTTTAGAGATGATTTATAGATTAATATGAACTCGTTCACAGCGAGAGCTTCAGGCGATACGACTCATTCAGCATCAACAATACAACTGTGTCCAACTATTCTGTGTGTGTGTGTGTGTGTGTCACACACAGATTCATCATCCACAAGATAAAAATAACCCCGTGGATCGACGGCCAGCGAACTTCCACAAACACACACACACACTGCAGATTCACCGACTCCAGCGAGAACTAAAGAAACATCAACACTTCACTGTAGTACACACACACACACACACACACACACCACCGGCAGACAGGTTATATAACCCCTGACAACTACTTCTATTATGACTCAAATTACTTCTAAAAAGAATGCCAATAAAACAAAAAACCCAAACACTGGAATGACTGCCAATGGGAAGGGAGTGTGTTTAATTGTACTGAGTGTACTTTAAATTAAAATACTTGAAAATATATTAATGAAATAAAGTAAAATATAAGTAAAATGAAATAAAATATTCACTTCATATTCTAACGATTCTGTAAGACGTCAATAGAGTTCATGCTGTTTCCACTCAGCATTATTGATCATGTGCCGTTATTGATTATGGAGTTATAGTTTCCAGACAGCGTTATTGATCATGTGCCGTTATTGAATATAGAGTTATAGAGTTTCCAGACAGCATTATTGATCATGTGCTGTTATTGATTATAGAGTTATAGAGTTTCCAGACAGCATTATTGATCATGTGCCGTTATTGAATATAGAGTTATAGAGTTTCCAAACAGCATTATTGATCATGTGCCGTTATTGATTATAGAGTTATAGAGTTTCCAAACAGCATTATTGATCATGTGCCGTTATTGATTATAGAGTTATAGAGTTTCCAGACAGCATTATTGATCATGTGCCGTTATTGAATATAGAGTTATAGAGTTTCCAAACAGCATTATTGATCATGTGCCGTTATTGATTATAGAGTTATAGTTTCCAGACAACATTATTGATCGTGTGCCGTTATTGATTATAGAGTTATAGAGTTTCCAGACAGCATTATTGATCATGTGCCGTTATTGATTATAGAGTTATAGAGTTTCCAAACAGCATTATTGATCATGTGCCGTTATTGATTATAGAGTTATAGAGTTTCCAGACAGCGTTATTGATCATGTGCCGTTATTGATTATAGAGTTATAGAGTTTCCAAACAGCATTATTGATCATGTGCCGTTATTGAATATAGAGTTATAGAGTTTCCAAACAGCATTATTGATCATGTGCCGTTATTGATTATAGAGTTATAGAGTTTCCAAACAGCATTATTGATCATGTGCCGTTATTGATTATAGAGTTATAGAGTTTCCAGACAGCATTATTGATCATGTGCCGTTATTGATTATAGAGTTATAGAGTTTCCAGACAGCATTATTGATCATGTGCCGTTATTGATTATAGAGTTATAGTTTCCAGACAGCGTTATTGATCATGTGCCGTTATTGATTATAGAGTTATAGAGTTTCCAAACAGCATTATTGATCATGTGCCGTTATTGATTATAGAGTTATAGAGTTTCCAGACAGCATTATTGATCATGTGCCGTTATTGAATATAGAGTTATAGAGTTTCCAGACAGCATTATTGATCATGTGCCGTTATTGATTATAGAGTTATAGTTTCCAGACAGCATTATTGATCATGTGCTGTTATTGATTATAGAGTTAGAGTTTCCAGACAGCGTTATTGATCATGTGCCGTTATTGATTATAGAGTTATAGAGTTTCCAGACAGCATTATTGATCATGTGCCGTTATTGATTATAGAGTTATAGAGTTTCCAGACAGCATTATTGATCATGTGCCGTTATTGATTATAGAGTTATAGTTTCCAGACAACATTATTGACCATGTGCCGTTATTGATTATAGAGTTATAGAGTTTCCAAACAGCATTATCGATCATGTGCCGTTATTGATTATAGAGTTATAGAGTTTCCAGACAGCATTATTGATCATGTGCCGTTATTGAATATAGAGTTATAGAGTTTCCAAACAGCATTATTGATCATGTGCCGTTATTGATTATAGAGTTATAGAGTTTCCAGACAGCATTATTGATCATGTGCCGTTATTGATTATAGAGTTATAGAGTTTCCAGACAGCATTATTGATCATGTGCCGTTATTGATTATAGAGTTATAGAGTTTCCAAACAGCATTATTGATCATGTGCCGTTATTGATTATAGTTATAGAGTTTCCAGACAGCATTATTGATCATGTGCTGTTATTGATTATAGAGTTATAGAGTTTCCAGACAGCATTATTGATCATGTGCCGTTATTGATTATAGTTATAGAGTTTCCAGACAGCATTATTGATCATGTGCCGTTATTGATTATAGAGTTATAGAGTTTCCAAACAGCATTATTGATCATGTGCCGTTATTGATTATAGTTATAGAGTTTCCAGACAGCATTATTGATCATGTGCTGTTATTGATTATAGAGTTAGAGTTTCCAGACAGCGTTATTGATCATGTGCCGTTATTGATTATAGAGTTAGAGTTTCCAGACAGCGTTATTGATCATGTGCCGTTATTGATTATAGAGTTAGTTTCCAGACAGCATTATTGATCATGTGCTGTTATTGATTATAGAGTTATAGAGTTTCCAGACAGCGTTATTGATCATGTGCCGTTATTGATTATAGAGTTATAGAGTTTCCAGACAGCGTTATTGATCGTGTGCCGTTATTGATTATAGAGTTATAGAGTTTCCAGACAGCATTATTGATCGTGTGCCGTTATTGATTATAGAGTTATAGAGTTTCCAGACAGCG